GGCGTTTTAATGAAACATTTTACCCCCAAACCCTAAAAAAGAAAGAAGCAAGACCAACATGTAGAATGACATTATTTTTTATTCGTTTTTGTTATGGAAGAATACATTTTTTTCGTGGGTGATTAATAAGTATTTTTTCATGCATGAAATTTATCAGTGTTCGTGCATTAAAATATACGTTGCTTCACATGTTCATTTCTGTTTCCTTTTTAACATCAGTTATTGGGAGCTGCAACAACATTGGATTTTTTTAAATAAATAAAATATCAACAGGAATTGGGAGAGGATTTGTTTTTTAATCATGATCGAGTCGCCAAAAAAAAAAAAGTTCTTCATGTTCCAAGGAGAAAATTGCATAGTGGTTTCTAAACAGCAAATACATGTTAACACCCGGTATTACAATTAATGTACATGTTGAACATTTTTGCTTTAAAAAATGTTTCAATAAAATTTTTATTGAAACATTTTTTAAAGCAATGGTTTCTTTTGCTCAAACAAGAAATTCATGGTTTCTGGTCCAAGATAGGCTCAGAACTTGGTGGGTTGACCTGAATTTGTTTTTGCTCAAGTGTACATGTAATATATCAAATAGGCAACCCACTTTCCTACAAAAAGCAGAGGTTTTGCCATGTACAAAACACACAAGTGTTCATACCGCTATCTGAAAAGTATTAGATGTTTTAAAACTGCGGCAGCGTCCAATTGATCACGTTTTTGGTGGGTGATCGGTACAACAAGGGTGTCCATTGGGGATGTAGTCGAGTCCAGTGCAAGTCCATCACAAGTCCTCCAGTCCCAATTCAACTCGCACCCTATTCAAATGAGCTTTAACAATGGCATTCTTTTGCTATAGGTTTCATTCAAATGACGTCATTTCCTACAGACCATCCACGTGCATCGGCATTTCGAGCATCAACTTCTATAACGCGCATCGGCTGCGTCGTATTTCGAACACATTTCGAGCAACAAGCGCACGTGTTTGGAACATTTTCAACTCTGTGTAATGCATGCTTGATTGCGTAAAATATGCAGTTGCAGTTCTTCTACAGAGATGGCCGTCATTGAGCGATCCCTATTGTTCATCCACTGTTACTTGTGACTGGACTTGTGAATGGACTTCTGAGGTTCATGAGCCCGGACTTGTGACGGACTCGCCTACATCCCTAATGTCCAAACATACTATGACCATGTATATAGCCTCGTGAACATTCCACCCTGCTCAGATAGTATATATTTACATTTAATAGCTACATTCATTTTAAAAAATCAATTGTTTTAACAATTAGTTGCATGCAATTGGATACTATTCAAGGCTGGTGGTTGCAACATTATTTCATTTAGCTCAAGTTGTATGTAAACAATCCTCTTTTTTTTCCCAATGGAAAAAAATGGTCTAATATTATGTTAATAAATAATGTGTACGTAACTCTGTAGTTTTTTTTTTACATATCAATACATAAAATACAGTTACAGAAATGAGTTGTTTATGTACAATTTAATTATTGCTTTAATAATTTACATTTTTTCCCCCTTTTTAAAAAATCAAAAACGGTCATGCTTGCATTAAATGTTTTAGGATAAACTTTGTCTCTGAATTTTCCAACAAGAGCATTGCCCGATCAAAAAGTCAGTTTTAAGATGCCCAGTGTTGTTTTCAGAGTCAACAAATCGATAAAAAGGTGTTAATTTAATTTCTATTTAGTTATTGCCCATTGTAGACAAATGGTTGTTCCTTTTATGAGAACTTTGTGTAAATCTTTTAATGTCATAATTTCAGATGTGTTTTGTGTTCACTGTGTACATGTGAAGGTACATGCCAGGGGCTAGATGTGTGTAACCTGCACCCTTTACTGTAGCCTTGGTCAAGGCATTCGACGATAGTCCGATAATCGCTGGTTGGTTGGCCTCGAACAATAAGCCGTACGATATGCACTCATCACACGTACTGTGCGAAGCACAAACAGCGACCTCACGCTGCTACGCAACAAGATGCAAATCACGTAGTGCTGAACGAACGCATTGGAACAGTTGTGAGCCTTGGCTTAGATTTTCTTTATTTTGTCGCTGGATTTCCAGTGACGACCCCGTATGCGAATAATGATGAGATAATTATTCAGTACTTGGTCGTGCAGGCTCCTATTTTACATGAACAGAGAGCTGGATAAAGTGGCTACATTCTCCAACAAGTTTGGAAACCGCAGACCAAATATAACTTGATATAAATCCAACGACAAAATAACAAAAATTGCCCGAAAAAGATAGGCCATGGCTCACGAATGGTCCAAGGCGTTCGTTCAGCACTAGCTGATTTGCATATTGTAGCCTAGACGCGTGAGGTCGCTGTTCGCGCTTCGCACAGTACGTACGTGAGTGCATTGTTCGCGGCCAACCATTGCTCATCGGACTCTATCGTCGAACGCCTTGACCAAGGCTACCTTTACTGGTCATTTGGAAATAAAGGCATTCAAGAACAAACCATGCGTATAATAATTAAGTTATTTTGTTTTGGTGTCAAAATTACTGTCCCGACCCAGTGTTTATCAAAGCTTCAATATTTCCCAAGTCTTAACGAATACCAATTCAAAGTGATGGGTGAAATGTGATGCTGATAACAGTATGATAATAAATGTAAATTAATGTGCAAGTGTGCATACTTAATGAATTTGCTTATTATCAATGAAATTAAAAATAAATAAAAAAAATACACTTCAAATGGCAATCAAATTTTGTCCATCCACGGATATTCACAGAAAAAAAAACAAGTGATCCACAGATCGCATGTGTCGCCTTTTTTTCGCAGTCAATCCCCATTTTTTGTTTTCTAAAAAAAAAGTCAAATTTTGTAAATTTGTACGTGACGTCAAATGACCCCTGGCTTCCAATTTCGGAAGACTTGTGATAAACCCCTACCCAAGGATCACTCCATCCAAAGTTACATGAAAATCCATCAAATTTTGTAGACAAAGAAATATTTGAAGCATATTTGAACAATGACCTGAAATGACCCCTACATGACCTTTGACCTCTGTAATCTGATGAGGAATTGTGTCTTCCAAGGGTCACGACATCCAGGTTTCGTCAAAATTCCATGAAAGCATGTAAAAGTTTTACATTTGTTTTCAGAACTTTAACATACGGGGCTACAGGGCTACCGGTCCATGGACGTTCCAGCAGATGGAAGTTCTGGGGTACTTGCATTGTTGTCCATTTATCCCTTTTTCTAAAGATTTCACTTGTGGGGTATCGTTTTTCTAAAGATTTCAGTGGGGTACCGTTCCCTTTGTCGAGTACCCCACAAGTAGCTCTGGTGTGTACGGTCATACAGAATTTAGGACTGGTGTCTTCCAAAACTTTGTTAAGGTGACACAAAAAATTGAGTAAGTTTTATATCATGCTAAACAGAAAACACTTAGGAGTAAATGGTTACTGGGCATAAAATAGTGAATATTTTGGTGAAAGATACAAGCATGCAGTGAATACAAATTAAATGATTACGAAATTATGTTACTAAAAAATTATCAATTGTCAATGTTAACTGTGAGCCACATGATCTTGATGAATGTTAGACGGATATTGAAATAAACTTTTCAGAGAAAAATGCGTTCAGCTTTACGTTTTAAAGGTTAAACAGCATTCCCCCACAAAATTTTGTGGGGTTGGGGAATTCACTGTATGGGGATAAAGCGGATGGCCAATGATAAGAAATTTGAAATAGCAGTTCAATTCCTCAAAATCCCCAGGTTTAGACAATTTCTTGTCAATTTTACTGGAGAGCAATTTTGGTCTAGCGAAAAACATGTCACTCATGATTTTGTATTTACATATTTCCCCCGACAAACTGCAGTGGCATTTCATGCAATGGTTTATCCAGCGTCGTTACTTGCTGGTCTGTGGTTACCGCAAGAGCCTCACGTCAAAATCCGGAACGGGGGACATTTCAGCGCTGAAATTATACGAAGGGAAGTCCTTCGTTAAAGTGTGTGCACTCGGCTTTATCAAAACGAGGATTAGGTTGGATAGTTGGATATCTGTGCTCACAACCAAATCTGTGATTTGTTCACGTAATGACATTGCGATGAACAATTCTGGCTTTCATATACGAGGGTAGTAAGGATACATGATCTACATGTAGTTATGTACATTTACATGTAGAGCTCAAAGCAAACTGGAAATTCAACAGATTTCAAATCTATGCATGTCAAGACTTTCCATCACCTTTGCATTTGTCCAAATTTTGCTATTGCATGATCCAAAAAACTTATTCCTTCATTTGACAGAGCAGGTCAGATACAATTCTTGCAAGTGCTGCCGAGAGCATTTCCTCTATTAGGTTTCATGCAAGCCAAACAGAAACCTCAATGGCTCATTTCATGGACAATTTTCTTTCCCCGAATCCCAGAAATGTTTCTGTTAAAATTTAGCTCAGGCAGTCTGTAACCTCCAAGAAGTGGCAAGCAGTGTTTTTTTTTTATATTACTACACCTCATAAATATTCATGATCAAATTGGAGCGCAGCATTGGCCAATTCCGCCACGGGAAGTAAAAATGATACGCGTCCAGGTGACGTCATCCCGGTGACGTCATCCCGGTGAGTATCCAGCTCGCTGCCGTGCAGTACTTTTTTCTGGTAGCACCAAATATTCCCTATGGAACCCACATCGCAGACATGTAGTCTATGGCAATACGGAACCAGTCTGTTGTTGTAATCCTTGTTACTACTGCAGTAAAAACACATTACAGAGTGTTGGCACCAGACTATTTCACACTGTGACGAAGAACTTGAATTGTGCTGAATAAAGATGCAAAATCTACGAAGGCCGTTATCGACAAGGCCTTAATTAGGCAGTGAGGTTACTAAAAAGATAGTGAGGCTACTAAGTATTTATGAGGTGCAGTAAAACAAAGACAGCATGGTTTATTTCTGGAAAATAGTTGGAATTACTGGTCCCTCGGTGTAGGTCAGCTTGACTACCTCCCTCTGCTTCGCGTCGGGAGGTAGTCAAGCTGACCTTAACCTCGGGACCAGTAATTCCCACTACTTCCCCTAAAACCATGCTGTATTTGTATAAAACCAAACATTTACTTCGTACTTTTAATAAGTGCTGTAGACGAGCTCAGTGCACCCTTGTGTTTCATCCTGCACTTACACCCTTCTACATGTCACACGGTGCGCTTCACTTTTGCACGCACTCTGTCAAAATAATCGTATACAATTTCAACGCAAACTGGTTTCACACCTTATAATGAAACATTATTGGGTGCACTTTTGAATGGCCTACACAATGGTCTCGAAGTTGTAATGGTTCTTGGATTGGATTCTTCGATTGAGCGACAACAATGTGAGTAACTTCTCGGAGGTAAAAGACTTGTGTGAAACAAAATTCAAAGAAACTATGGCATACTAGTGGCTTGGATTGGACGGCAGTTCTTCACATCATCGTGGCTGTGTTCATCATGTACGCTTGCAAATTGTGGACTTGATGATGGCCTTGCACTTGGTTCACGCCGGGGGACATAGGGGTCTGCATGTGGTTGTGGGGGGAGGGGGACGGCACGGGGCCGAGGGGCATAGGGGAGCGGGTGGCATTCGCCATGGGCATGGGCGACTGCATGGGCGACGTCAGCGTGGAGATGCACGTCGGTGGGTGCATGGACAGGGTGGACTGGGACAGCTGCTGCAATGCAGGGTTGGCCTGCTGCTGCTGCTGCTGCTGCTGCTGCTGCTGCTGGGGGTGCAGGCTCATTGTGGTGTGGGGGCTGGGTGACTGGAGGGGTGGGGTAGGGTTAGGAGAGGCGTGGTTTTGCGGCATGGCCAGTTGAGCCACTGCTGGCTGGCCGTCCGTGCTGACCTGCAGGTTGACCGGCATGTTGAGACCCTGTAGGCCCATGAGGGCAGCGATGTGCTGGAGGGAGGAGCCACCATCATGCTGGCTCATGATGGTAGTCTCTGGGGCACCCGATCTCTGGCTGTGGAGTGAAGAGATTGAGACAAGTATTGTCGGTTTCAATAAAAGTCCATCGAAAGTCTAGTCACAAATGCACGTGTTATCCACAAGTCAGTCACAAGTCTGGTCACAAGTAACAGGGGATGGACAATAACAAAAGAATGCCTTTGTCATTTTAATTGGAATAGTTTGTGACGGACGTGCGAGGACTTGTGAAGGACTCAACTGCAACACAGTCGATGTGATGTTGAATGAACTTTGTGTTTTCTTCAAATAGCTTCAGGACGTTTTCAAGTGTAATATTTCATACAATGTAGCTGTAGAAACTTATCCAACAATATCTTGATATCAAGCATTTGTGTATTCTCACACTTCAGGCATAATGTACAAAGGCTGAACATTAGATATTTGTTTGCACAAAAATGGATGGGCTCAGTAAAAAAGTTTGTATGGCAAGTGCCTTAAGGAGCTGGGTCAAGATCAGAATACAGATCTACTGTTCTTTTTGTCATCGTCAAAAAAATAGGAAACATGAGTTTGAATTACTATGGGGTGCTGTGGTCCAAAAGGGGGTGCTGTGGTCCAATGGTTACGGTGTTCGACTCGTGTGCCGTGGTACATGAGTTCGAATCCCGACCGTGGGAACATGGTGCTTGTGCTCTTCAGCAAGGCACTTTATCACTATTGCTCTGTCCTTCGGATGGGATGTAAAACCGTAGGTCCCGTGTGTTGTATAATACACGTTCAAGAACCCAGAAACACTTATCGCTAAGAGAAGGGGTTCGTTCCGGTGTTTCTGGCAGTGGCTGCTTAATGCGCCGCAGCACCTTGTATACCCTTATAAGGTGCTAAATAATGGGTCTCATATCTCTCATGTACTTCATTCACCTGTCTCTAATAATAGACATAACTCCCAGCACCTTGAGTACCTAATGTACTCCGTTGCGTTAATGCCTGAATAGATTTCTGCAACGTAGCCATACAGATACAGATACAGATAATAATTGGCATACCTCCAATGATTCTTCTCATGTATTTTCATACTGCTGAGATGACGGAAGCTAGCTCCACACAGGCTGCACTTGTACGGCTGCTCACCACTGTGGATGCGCTGATGACTACGCAGGTTCTCCTTCCGGTTGAACTGGGCACCGCACGTCTCACACTGGTAAGGCTTGTTATTGCTATGGATCATCATGTGCCTGTTCAGGTGGCCCGTCCGCTTGAAGCTGGCCCCACACTTGTCACAGGTGTGCGGCTTGGTGTCGTTGTGGATCAGCGAGTGGGTCTTGAGATCGTTGGTGGTCTTGAATTTGGCAAGGCAGATGTTGCAAGTGAACGGCTTGTCAGTGCTGTGCACCCTGTTGTGGCTACGGAGGTCACTCTTACGCTTGAACATGGCTCCACAAGTCTCGCACTGGAACGGCCGCTCGCTGCTGTGCGTGATCTCATGACTCTTCAGGTAGACAAACACGCTGAATTTTTTGTCGCAGAATTTGCATGCGTAGGGGGTGTCCTTCTGGTGGTTTGTGAGCACGTGTCGTTTGAGGTTGATGGACTGGATGAAACGGGCGCTGCACAGGTCGCACTTGAAGGGCTTCTCGCCTGTGTGGGTACGGACGTGGATCTTCAGTGCCGACGAGTAACCACAGTTTTTGCCGCAGAACGTGCAGACGTACCGGCGGGGGCCGCGGGCCGTGTCGCGCCTCTGGTGGGATATTAAGTGGCGGTCCAGTTCCATGTCCGTGCGGAAGACTTTGGTGCACCGGTTGCACTGGCTGTGCTCCCCGACGTAGTGCTGCCTCAGGTCCCGCAGCTTGCTGAACTTGAGGGTGCAGAACCGGCAGACGTACTCCTTCCGGGTCTTGGCGATGGTGAAGGTCCCCCGCTTGATGCGGAGTGTCTTGCGTATTCTGGTCGTGCGTTGCACCTGCTCGTTCTTGCGGGGTCGGCCCCGCCTGCGTGGCAGCTGCCTGAGAGACCGTGGCACGGGGCTCTTCAGCGCCGCTTTGGTCTCCACCTTCAGTGTCCTGTCTCTAGAAGGGTCTAAGTTTGGGGGTTGGGTTTGCACTCGGGGGCGGAGTCTGTCGGCGATCATGGGAGACGTGTCTGAGCATGAGCTGTCCGTCTCATCACCATCACCATCACCACCACCATTGTCCTCGCTCTCACTATCACAGCTCTCCTGTTGATGAAGGTCTTGCTGAGGAACTTCAAAGGCAGCCAGGGCATCCTTGTTGGCACTTATCAGATCTGAAATTTTAAGAAAGTTACTTTTTTAAACTGCATCTACAGTGCATTTAACGTACAGGCAGTAACAAAATGAGTATTCAAGCCAAGTGAGTCCACAATAAACCAGGGGTGTACATGTAGTCAAGTCCATCACAAGCCCTGCAAGTCCATCACAAGTCCTACAGTCCAAATTAAAATCACAAGCTATTCAAATGAGCTTTGACAAAGGCATTCCTTCGTTATTGTTCGTTCACTGTTCCTTGTGACTGGACTTGTGATGAACTTGTGAACTTGTGATGGACTGGACTACATCCCTGCAATAAACGAGTTAACAATTGAGGAAAGGTTTGATTTAGAGGTATTTATGAAATGAGAGTGTGATGACAAGAATGGATCTAGTCACTGTGGACATTTTCAGTTCTGTGCTTTAGCCCAATCCATAATTTGTCCATACTCTTCCACTGTTATTATTAGTCCAATAAGGGTAGACCATCACATGTAATTCCTATATAATAGAAAAACTATAAACCATTACATGTACATGTATATTATTTGTTTCTACTACTGAAGGTACGTGCACAGTATGTATTACAAAATATGTTTGGAATATAAAATATTATTTCAAAACTTTTTAACAGAAACATACTTTCCAGTTCCTCTTTACTCTCTGGTAGCAATGGCCCACTGCCTTTCTTGTATGTCTGCGACAGCTCGATGAGTCGCTCACACATGAGCCTGTTGGCCTGTCGCTTGATCTCCGTCAGGTTAAATGTCTCAGCCACCGAGATGATGTCAACACAGTTGTCGCCAGTCAGCTGAGACTTGAGGAACTCGCAGCAGGCCTCCAGGACGGAGGGAGCCTTGAGATTGACGGCCACCGACAGGACGTCTTCCATGACTGCCATGGTCAGGCACATCCGGGAGGTGTAGGCAAACTCCAGCAGAAGATGGAAACCCCTGGCACTGACATTGTCCAGGACGATTGGCTGGCCGGCCCCAGAGATGTCCGGCAGGGTGGTGGTGAAGTAGCTCTTGAAGTAGTCACTGCAGGCAATCAGCACCGCCTTGTGCGTGTGGAAGGTGCGCGTCTCCACCAGCACGGTGCAGTCGCAGAGCCGGGGGAACTGCCGGCACTCGTTGAGGGTCTGCAGGATGTGCTGGCTGTGGCTGGTGAACTCGTACAGGTAGCTGCCATCTTCCCGCCGCGTGATTTGCAGCGAGCTGGCTGCCATTCTGCGGGCACTTCGGCAGCAAGCTGCCTTTCACTTGTTCATCAGCCTCACTATTACACATGGGAATAAAAATCAAGCAGCTTGGGATAAACTCAGACAGTGCAGTGGAAAGGACATGTTCGATGTAATTTTGATTGTTACTGCATGTACTGTAAATGTACAGGATTTTGTTTTCTGATACCGGTACTTGATAACTTGATTCATTCTTTTTGTGTTGTTTGTTTTGATTACGTTTGGTTTTTTTTCTCTCTCTCTCATGTCGTTTTGTTTTGTTTTTGTTAGGCCTATTTAGTTTTTTGGGGGGTGGGTTGTTTTGGTTTTTTTTAACATTTGAATAAAGGCCTACACGTCCCTTTTTCTACCCCCCCCCCCCCCCTCACCGAAAAAAAAATATTAGGGCCCCTTCTAGAAACATTTCCAATTTTGTTAGGAAATACTTGAAAATGTTCTTGACTCTCCACTTTGACCCCCTTTGTGTACACAATTATAAACTGCTGAAGACTTGAAGTGGCGTCTGGATACTACATCCCCCCACCCCTTCCCCTTTATAAATATCAATAAACTCCTCCCCCACACGTTCAGCCTTGCAGCAGTCTTGGCCCAGACTCTACACGCAGACCCCAGACCATCAGATTCATACCGCGCAGTAGCGCGCCATAGCTGAACCCTGGGCAGGGATACCCTGGTTTTCCAGCAGTACGAAGCGATCCCCTAACCCGATCCCAGACAGCTATTCGCGTACTTTTTACCCATTTACATTCATCAAATACTACCATAATCCACATTAAAATGACCATCAATATTTCTTATAGCATTTAGTCCTAATTTTGGTAACCATGGGGGACTATTTCAATCGATTGGATCCACAGAAAGAAAACGGTATTTCAGAAAGACTCACCCAAATTAAAAGAGATCCCTGGAACTAAATATTTGACAGGCTCTCCGAAAATAAGAAATTCGATCGTAAAGTTTCTCGACCGATGTAGATATTTTTTTTTCTATTTTAAACCTTACTAATTTGAAAATACTTTTAATAATCAATTTTTATCTGAAATTGCCTTGTTTGTCTCAACAAATACAAATAAATAGTAAAATAATATGCACCTTTTAGTTTATTGAGAACGAGGAGCCAACGTAAAAGGTCACGTACTTTTGTTAAATGTAGCCACCACAAAAATAAATTTAGTTACTCTGTTATTATCATGGTTATTATACAAAAAAAGTGAAAATATTGAACGAATTTCGTTCATTTACAATTTGTTTTATCAATAACAAGCAATTACAGTAAAATAAAAATGAATGCGTGTTTGGATACTCAAATTCCACAATTAAGAAAGTTGCATTGTTAAAGAAAAGTTTAATGCGAAAAATAAATAAACGTAGACTGAGTAAAGTTTAGGAATGAATTATGCACACAATGTCAACAACTTGACTAGACTGCACACGGGATCCGGGCCGGACGGGATTATAATACATCATGTAATATTATACGATCTTTGATTAAACGAAACGTACACAACAATCGTAAAGAGCAAAGTCATGAGAGTCATCGAAGTTTATATGTACATGTACTTAATGCAGTACGTGTAGTTGTCTGTCATCTGTCGTCTATTGCATTAATTACATCAAACGTAAGTAATGCAAAGGATTGTTGTACGTTTTTGAAAACTTCGCAGTTTGTGTCGTCGATGTTCGACCCAGCTCCGGTCAGCCAGTTGGCAGATTTGACCCGCACTGCATTGACACCGAATACTCGGAGTCGAAATAGCACATTAGCAGGCATCCAACAGGTTGTTATGGTTTAGGGACGTGAATAATACCATCTGTCATTGTCTGTTCCTAAATGGGAAAGAATGTTGCAACCTGACGCTGTTTTTTTCGGTAATCCTTACTTTTAGGACCCCTTTCCTATATAAGGTTAAAAGACTCACCAAAACAGCTGACTATGACACTCAAAAGTGACATTCTGATATTTATTGACACATTTGAACATTTGGCAATGACACCTCTTGAATATCAGCAGGTTTAATTTTGTAGAAAGAGGGCAGGGTTTTGATTTATGAGGGGTTAAAGACGACGATGACAAACAGAAAATAAATTTAAAAAGCAAGATGGCGAACTGCAAAAAAAGGTAGGAAAGTCACATTTTCTTTGAAAGTGCTTTCAAAATTATAACTAACATGAGTTTGTCTGAAGAAAAAAGACTTCTTTAGCCTGCAAAAGTCACTTTGGTACTGGACAGTCATCTGCAAAAGTCAGTTTTGAACAGAACTCGTACAAAATAGAGGTGTCCTAAAAGTAAGGATTACCTTTTTTTCTTTATATTATCATCTCAATGAAAGTCAGTCATTGCAAAAATGATGATAAGAGTTAAGACATGAATCTGGGACTAAGAAATATTTCTAATTTTGTTAGGAAATACTTAGAAAATTGTATTGACTCTCCATAGACTTTGTACACAACCGCTGAAGTAGCGTCAGGTTGCAACATTCTTTCCAACAAATGCACCCCTGGCACTGCATGGGGCTGTCAAGTGTCATCACAAGGCTAAGAATATGCAATGCTAAAAAAACATCATGTTGAGGTTCAGTTCAATTTTATCATTTTATTAATTATTATGTTAAATGTTGCAACCTGCCTGACGCCAATTTCTTTTCTTCATAAATCATCTCAATAAAGGTCAGTCATTGCAAAAATGTTGAAAAGACGTGAATCTGGGACTGAGAAACATTTGCAATTTTGTAGACTTTGTACATGCACATAATCGTTAAAGTGGGGTCAGGGTGCAGCGTTCTTTCTTTTATGATGTTTACAAATTTAAAAATATCAAAATTTTTAGGAAGTTGCGTAGCTTTTCAGAACTTCTAGTTTCTAGAGTAGAAGGCACAAGCACGAGTGGACAATTCCACAGAAGTATTAATGCCAATATGCCAAAATCTGAAAATGGCCCAAATGCCATAAATGAAACTGGCATATCATTTTCAAACTTGTTTTTTTTCTTCTGTATTTTATTGGAAAAGTTTATCACGTACATGTATATTAACAACATTCCTCTTTAAATTTGTTGCACTTGCAGATACTATTGAAGCCACACTCTCCAATGGAAACTAACTTTACACATTGTCGCTGAAGCCTAAGAAAGAAACATTCCACCGATTTCCCCCGGAATCTCAATGGTTGCCCACATGTCAAACACCACAATGAGCGAGGATATCCCACTGAACTTCGAACAGGTTCTGCCCTTTCTCGTGGTGGCCGGCCTCATCCTTTTGCTGAATCTAGTCTTCTGTTGCTATCTATTGAGGTGAGATTTCAACCCAAAAAGCCCTCTGTTGAATTTTACTTTAAATCTTTTCGATATGAATCTATGGTATGGATGAAACGAACAAGGTAATTTGTGCACCAACCTATGGGGCTGTGAACTAGTTGAAACTTTCTTTTGATTCCACAGTATAAATCAAGAATTTTAATAGTGATCATATGTTCACACACTGTTGGTAATTTGAAATATAATTAGAAGAATCTGCATGTAAGATCCAAATAACTCGGCCTACTCTGCAAACATGGTTGCATTCCATTCATGCAAATAGCACAAATTTTGCCAACATTCATAAACTAGTTGCCAACATTCATAAACATTCAATCTTTCAACTCATGAAACTACTATAACCAGTGCACTCATAAACATTCATTATTTGTTTTATATAACACCCAAGTAGATCTTTGTCATTCGATTGGAGGATAAAACTTTAAGAACAAACAAAACTCACAAAATTGTATCATATCCACTAATTTTTTTCAGCTTGTTCAAGGCTAACAAAGGTATAACAGTCACATTATTTGACAAGAATGACAATTAACAGTGTTACTTCTTAAAACACTGCAAAAAAAAATCATCAAGGCACAGTTCTGCATCAACATCAAAGGCAAGTTTTGTACTGCTTTAATGCACGATATTGTCTAAATAGTGCAAAGATAACGCCGGGCTGCTGTGCGTCTTAGCGTGCGCGCGGCTTGCAATAGATCAAAAGGGATGGGACAAAAATGCACGGTGAATGGAACCATTCGATTAATGAATGCCGCGTGACCTACAATCCTCCAATCAAATGACAAGGATTTGCTTGGGTGTTATATGAATAAGAATGCGACTTGGGACTTGTACCCCTAACCCTGCCATCTTTCCCCAATATTCAATTTTTTTTATCTCCTTTTTTGTGCTGTTAGGCTGAAAAGATCAGGAAGAGTTGAGACTGGATTTAAAACAGTAAGTAGTGTGCTAAGTAGTATGCTAGCAAGTAGCTTTGACTGTAGGTGATTGATAAGCCAGCTGTGCCTACCACTTGCCTACTTGTATCGGTTGACTGAATTTGACTAGTCACAGTGCCTGCATGAAATATGATCCGACTGTTGGTGACTAGCCTGTGTAAAAGGCATGGCAGGGGAAGAGGATTGATTTTTTTTACTGTCTGTGGCTGTTCAGACAGAAGGAGGGTTAATCAAATCAACCATATCATTGACTTGATCTGCAATTTAATATTAACCAGATCTATTGTTTATCAAGTCGACCATAATCAGTTACAAGCGAGTCAATGACAATGAAATTACTTTGACTCAGATCAATTCAGTAGCAGGTCACTTTTGGGCTTGTAATGTTGCAAGTCTTGATGACCTTTGGTTACTTCATCACATCTCTGCTAACACTCAATCCTTGTTTTTATTTGACAGGTTAGTTTCACAAAGAAGAAGATAGGAGCCAAGTTTGATGTAAGCTGTTCTTTAACAATTTTTACTCTAATGGCAAAGTAGTTTTGACTTAGAACTTTAAGTGAATGTAGGTGCGAATAAGTAAGATCTGATACCATTCCATCCCCCAGATCTAAAATTGTAATTTCTTGCCGCATCTTTTACCATGATTTTCATTGGATATCCCTGCCAATTGCCGAATCATAATCAATAATTTTAAAAATATGTAATTCTTGGCTCTGTGAGAGTTGGTCTAAACCAAAGCAAAATGTAGTCCAAGCTGGAGCAAACTGGAACATGAAGTCCAAACTGGAACTGTGTATTAAAGAATTTGATGTTCCGCTAGTCTAGAAGAAAAAAATATTGTTTTATGACTAGTACAAATTTGGAACAATGAAAACTTTCTGGGTGACCTGCAGGGCCCAATTTCATAGAGCTGCTTAAGCAAAAAAAATTACTTAAGCACAAAAAAGTTTGCTTAATATTATCAGGTTACCTGCCAAAACTCCATGCGATTGTTATGCTAAGTAAACAACAGTTAAATACCAGTCACAAGAAATGTACATCACATGGATTTTTGGCCGGTAACATGATTATATTAAGCAAGGTTTTTTGTGCTTAAGCAAATTTTATGCTTAAGCAGCTCTATGAAATTGGGCCCAGACTCTAGATTTGTCCAAGTCTACTGGTTACATCATTTTACATGAATATTTGGTTGTTTTTCTCTTGCGTATCAAGATGTGCTCTGTCTGTCTGGAGGACTTTGAGGAAGGCACCAAGATTGGTCAGTGCTCCTGCGGGCATGTCTTCCACGTTGTGTAAGTATCACTTCTCTTACCTGCATTTCCATTAACGCTAAACCCCTCTCGTACTTTGGCAGGAGGCCCTGCTGTAAAATGCAGCAACATGCAACACTTGTCACAATGAGAAGCCTGCTCAGTGTAGCAAGATCCATCAGGTCAAAAATCTCAATGCCAAACTACCTCAGAGTCTGTGGTCACCAATTGCAGCAGGCTACAACTGTGGCATTGGTCAATGGGACTAGCTCTTATTGTTTCAGAATTGGCAGTTTATGCACTGGTATTGGTAGCTCAGTGCGCTTGATGCACTGTGTTAGGCCAAAAACAAAAATAGTTCTGCTTCCGGTTTCCTTACCTACCTTATTCTGACAGCCCCGACCCTAATTGTTTTATTGGAAAAATGAGGAAAAAAAAGGAAAAAAAACCCATCAATTTCTACCTATTAGCCTTGACTGCACGTAGACATCTCCATATGATGGTACACAAAAAAATTTGCAAAAACAAAAAATTCCCTACCTACCTACCCTATTTTCGAATGCCATGTAATCGGAAGCAGAACTATTTTTTTTAGCCTTATGTCTGGCAGGGTTAGGGTTATTGGCTAATACTTCATGTACTTGATTGGTATGTACCTGATGTGGGAGACGGGCGGCGCAGTGTGAACCCCGTAGCCCTGAGTCGTAATAACGTTAAGTTTTGTTTGCGTGTGCATTTTCCTATGGGAGCTTGGCATGTCTTGTCCCTGCCTCTTTCTTGGACTGACTCTTGAACTTATTGTCACCATTACAGGATGGTGCTCATTCAAAATAAAAGTAGCCAAGTGTATGTTGCTCATGTACAACCTAGGGCTGTCCATTTTCAAATAATTTAGTATTTGGTTACTCGAAACTGTGTTTGACCGAATATTCGGATATTCGAAACTGCCTGCTGCAACTGCGTGCTGCACCAGTAAAAAGTTGCACAAAGAGTGTGCCAGTTAAAATTTGTGTGCATCAATCAATCTGAATGTTTTGCAGTATAAAGTATAACTGTAAGACGGCTGTAACCTGCTTAAGGCCCCCCCCCCCCAAAAAAAGTCTCCGGTTTCTGGTATGGAGCTTGCCCAAAAAGTGGTGCGGCGACGCAGCTTTTTTTTTTTTTTACCTGATTTTTTTGCTTCAAATGTCGGCTGATGACTGCAAATGGTGCCCGACTAAACTTAGTGCAAATATATGGGAGTCCAGGGAGGCCACATAAAGCTTATTCTCGACCATAACCCAATCTAAAAACACGTTAAAATTGTGCAGCAGCAGGATTCCAGTCAAACCAGTGAGTTTGGCGGTTTTGAGACATCATCTTTCATTAAAAAAGAACTTTTTCAGTTTGCCGACGCGCATGGCTACGGCGACGCGCGCGCATACCAGAACCCAGAGACTTTTTTTTTTGGCCTAAATGATGTGTACAATGAACCGCCGTCGACAAAAAGTGACCTTCGACACAAAGGTGGCCCCTGAAAATAATGCTTCACAACTTTAGGATAAAATATCATCACAGTCATGTGTGTATTTGTTTTCAAAAATTCAAACCGGCAAAAACCTATGAGAATATTCGAGTATTTGACGGTAGATTTGAGACAGCCATATATAGTACAACCACTGTGCATACACGTGTCCTGCATACGGAGCCCCATATCTCATAAAGCCCATTTATAATTCATTCAATAAGTCTTTACTTTTCACTGAGGAAGTCGGATCTGTGTTGATTATTTGTTTGGTTAAATTCTGTGTTTTTTTAATCGGGACTCCTATTTTTCACTCACAGATGCATCGCCAGGTGGTTGAGATTGCGCAACACCTGTCCCATTTGTAATGCCATTTTGCTAGCCCATGCGACGGAACGCACAAGCTTACGCTTCCACGTGGCCCAGCCCCAGCCCCAGCCTACAACAAGCGCACTCTAACTCACAGTGCTGATGCGTGGGGGCCATTTCCGCAGAGCTGGTTAGCAGAATAACTTCTGTTCTTTATATGAAAAAAAGTTTGACTTAGCCTGCAAAAAGTAAGTGGATGTTGCAAAAATTGAAGAAAAAAGTAAATACTTTTGATACCTGACAAATAAACACTGCCAAATCATCATTCTCCCAATTATTTTAAGAGAAAGTTTGTAAATAATGCATTATTAAAGTAATTACTGAGGGAATAGTCATTCTGGTGTTGAGATGTTGACGGTCAATTATTGTATATTTAAAGGTAATATACAACATTTGCAAACATCAAAAAACAAAATTACCAAATTATTATTGAAGTGATTTGAATACTGCGGTGTCACAGCATGATGAGGGAGTTTGATCCCAAACTAAATCAGGATAAGTGTGTTGGAGGCTGCCCCAGATGGAATCACACGGAATCACCAGTTCAGTTCAATTTCAGCGATTAATAGAGAATTTATTCAAACATCAGCAAATCAGTAGAATAACCAATGAGTTAATTAGATCAGTTGCAGTTAATGAACATGATGAACAGATGTTGATCCCAAAACTTCCCCAGTATATGTGCTATGTGTGTGGATCCCGGTCACGATGCAAAGACAGATCACCAGGCAAAAGATCCCGTATAGTAAAGATCCCGTGTAGTAAAGATCCCGTGTAGTAAAGATCCCGTGTAGTAAAGATCCCGTGTAGTAAAGATCCCCAGGTGCAATAAATGAAGGTCTCACAGTAGACCGCGCCTACATATTGCCTACGGAAAAATAAACAAGACAACACTGCGGTCAAAATACATGGTGAATGTGTACACACAATGGCGGTCAAAGGTCACACACACAACACGAGTTCAGACGCTGTGCATACAAGTACAACGTGGGTGTGTGTGGGAATATGCACGACTGTAGCTATGACGACGACGCTGCAAAATTGGAAAGTTCGTGAGTGAAAGTGTCACAAAAACGCAAGTTTCCCGCAAAGTTATGATAAAAAGGACACTCACCACAGGTTCCAGAGGCGCCCACCTTCCCACTCAGCACATGATTATGCTGGCAAACAGCAAAGGAAAGGTGAATTCTCACCGAGAAAATCCCGGCTACAAAATAAGTGACTGCCGTCCAAAAGTTGGAAGACAAGCAGTGCCTGTTTCGCGCGCTCCCGCACGATGCGGACACATCACCAAGTGTCTCTAAAATATTATTGCACCCTCAACAAAATGCTGTTACGGATTACTTACACCCGTAAATGACATAATATACTCAAAGGAACTTCCACCTAGACATTATTGTCATTCTTATACAATTATAATAAGAAAATGTAGAAGAAACCCTCTAAAACTATGGACCTACTTGTTTCAAGAGTGAATGGACATTGAGTTAACAAGTGCTACATTTGCATAGGTCACGCGTCAACAACAACATAGGTCAATCTAAATATAGCCCTGTATCCGGGCAGCCGGTGTGTGGATGGAGGTTACGTGCCCCCACAAATTCCCTGCTTTAAGACCACGCGACCCGAGTGGTCCCTACTAAAGTACAATGTACTATGTTATTCAAATGTTGTAAGATTTCACTGTGCAACATCAGTATTAAGCACCATATTAATTAATACACATTGGCAAGATATAATTTAACATCCAAAATATTTCTTTAAAGATAAACTTTAACGAGAACATTTTTTTTTTTATGTTATACATGTTATATATACATGTATGATAAAGTGTGCATACAAGTACATGTCTACTGGTCGTTACTCAACTTCCATTGTTAAAAAGGATGAAGCTGACATACTTTTACATAAGAATATGGCATGAATGAAAGATACACATGTATGCGTCTCCTTTAATACTACGCAACAGACATTTGACACTTGTAGTGCTAAATGGGAAACATGATATTTTACAAAAAGCTTTCAATAATTCCAAGCACATACATTTCCAAAGACCTTCTCATTTAACGTATTCAAGATCAATGGATAAGTTTATACTTTAGTCAACTATAGCAAAAAGTTTTAACACTTGTCAATGCACATGCATCAATTCTTATTTCCAAAATAGTCAAACAATGGATATCCACACTTGTATTTCTCAAATTCTGTTCCACAACAAATTTCTGATAACCTTAGTCAAAGGTCAAGGCTCGATAATTACTCTTTAAAGTCAATACAATGAAATCAACTTTTCTACAGCTGCTGTTTTAATCATAAGGTATTCTAAAATAGTAGTCGCCTTCATAGAACTAAGGATCTTAGATTGACTTCCTTCACAAAAGCAATCACAAGTACACATGTACAGGGTAATCTGATTACCTGATTGAAACAAAGGTATCAACACCCAAGGTTACAGACATAATCTATCACTGTCTTCATTTGCATTACCAGCAACAAACAATGTAATGGGGAAACTGTCAGATAATCCCACCGACCACCAAAAATGTGCTTCCAACAACAGTGGAGCAACACCCGTCACTATCAGTACTTAGGGTAAAACAAATTGGAATTTGGGAAATGATAACATTTTCCACACAGAAATGGCTTTAAAAGCATGAGCCAATAACCCGTCACTATCAGTACGTAGGGTAAAAAGAGGAAATGTCAATACATGAACAATAATTCCCATTCCTTAAAAACAGTGATCAGTAAGGATATACCATGACAAATTTCTCCACCACACCGCATAACTTAAGTGTATGTATACTGCTTGCATAGTATATTTGTTATCACGAAAATACAAATCTTCAAAACTCTACATTTAACTTGCAGTACATCACAATTATATTGGAGGCGAAGACGGCAGTACACCTCGTCCCACACCACAAATGTGGTGCAAGTAATCCCCTCTCCAATGCACTAAAGATTTTTCATACGCTGAAAAGTATGATGACAAATGATAATTCAATTAAGTTATGGCATTAGGCCATCCGGGATAACACTTCCCTGCTTTTTTGCAAGCCCTACTCTGCAAGGAAGGCATCCAACACTCAACATATACGGTCAACAACAACTTGGTCACCTTGAAGGGCGAAACCTCATATACCTCATAACAGGTGAGCCTATCTGCACTACAATTGGGGATAGATAAAAATGTGTCATCACAAACAAATGTATTGTGCAATTCACTTTGTGAACTTTCAACAAGTACACAGTCAGCACATTCAAAGATATTGGGAGTAACATCAAAATGAGGATCTTCAAACGACTCTTCTCCGAGAGCAACAAATTGAGGGTCTTGAATAAAACAGGAAGTTTCCTTCTCTGAAACAGACTGAGGGCAAAGAGTTACATCACAACTCCCCTCTAATACATCATATGACCCTACAGTATCGATAAATATTTCCTCAAAACTATCTCCCTCTTCAGACACTGTATCACCGCAAAAATCCCCACAAGATTCAATGACAATACATTTTGTATTTGGCAGATCAACTTCACCCACCGCCACATGGCTCGCTGTGACGGGGGTAGGGCATTTCCCTGACTAACATCAGTATCATGAAACTGCTCAGTACAGCCTACGGGGGTGCTAGTTGCTAAATCTTGCTCCATTAACGAGCTAACACTGTTAACAAGCAATGCATTACTTTCTGTGAGTATGCCTACAATATCCCCAACAAGATTATCAAAATTTGCCTCGGAATTTATGAACAGAGTCCCAACAGTGGGCTCCACAACAGACGCATTTTCAAAAACACTGACTAGTGTTTCAACTAGCCTTTCATTCCGAAGGGCAAGTGCATCTTCCAGCACTTTAAACATGGCCATAACTGACCAAAGTCAAAATTTCACAGAACAAAGTCTATGAAAACACAATACAAATGGCTTCTTGAGCACTACAAAATATATGGCGTACAAAACACACATGACATGTTGAATTACATCAACTCAAAACTGAATGCACGAAATGCCTCAATTGAAGCTCAAAAATATGCTCCGTTAAACGTGAGGATAGACTTGACCATCCTACAAATCACCAACCATGCAACATTGGCTCAAAATATGAAAAACAGACACAGATGAAACTGGTCAATGAATATACGTATGGCTCCTCTATGGGCACCATTGACATGAAAATTCTATTGACAAAGGCAGCTAAATATGTCAATAAAAAATGGGTTCATATAAACAATGCACAAAGACCATCACTGTAAACGGGTTATACACGTGTGCAATAAACATGTAAAAATACATACAAAATTTGAGAAAACTGCCGATTTACAGATCTCCCACTGAAGGACATCAGTAGCCACATCCTCCACAGTCGCAGGACTTGAAAGGTTGAAACGTGCACCAGGGGATCTTTGAATTTGATGACCGATGATGAAGGATCACGACGAGATCAACAAGCAACACACTCCATCCCATCCTCGTCGCCATTTTTGAAGTGATTTGAATACTGCGGTGTCACAGCATGATGAGGGAGTTTGATCCCAAACTAAATCAGGATAAGTGTGTTGGAGGCTGCCCCAGATGGAATCACACGGAATCACCAGTTCAGTTCAATTTCAGCGATTAATAGAGAATTTATTCAAACATCAGCAAATCAGTAGAATAACCAATGAGTTAATTAGATCAGTTGCAGTTAATGAACATGATGAACAGATGTTGATCCCAAAACTTCCCCAGTATATGTGCTATGTGTGTGGATCCCGGTCACGATGCAAAGACAGATCACCAGGCAAAAGATCCCGTATAGTAAAGATCCCGTGTAGTAAAGATCCCGTGTAGTAAAGATCCCGTGTAGTAAAGATCCCGTGTAGTAAAGATCCCCAGGTGCAATAAATGAAGGTCTCACAGTAGACCGCGCCTACATATTGCCTACGGAAAAATAAACAAGACAACACTGCGGTCAAAATACATGGTGAATGTGTACACACAATGGCGGTCAAAGGTCACACACACAACACGAGTTCAGACGCTGTGCATACAAGTACAACGTGGGTGTGTGTGGGAATATGCACGACTGTAGCTATGACGACGACGCTGCAAAATTGGAAAGTTCGTGAGTGAAAGTGTCACAAAAACGCAAGTTTCCCGCAAAGTTATGATAAAAAGGACACTCACCACAGGTTCCAGAGGCGCCCACCTTCCCACTCAGCACATGATTATGCTGGCAAACAGCAAAGGAAAGGTGAATTCTCACCGAGAAAATCCCGGCTACAAAATAAGTGACTGCCGTCCAAAAGTTGGAAGACAAGCAGTGCCTGTTTCGCGCGCTCCCGCACGATGCGGACACATCACCAAGTGTCTCTAAAATATTATTGCACCCTCAACAAAATGCTGTTACGGATTACTTACACCCGTAAATGACATAATATACTCAAAGGAACTTCCACCTAGACATTATTGTCATTCTTATACAATTATAATAAGAAAATGTAGAAGAAACCCTCTAAAACTATGGACCTACTTGTTTCAAGAGTGAATGGACATTGAGTTAACAAGTGCTACATTTGCATAGGTCACGCGTCAACAACAACATAGGTCAATCTAAATATAGCCCTGTATCCGGGCAGCCGGTGTGTGGATGGAGGTTACGTGCCCCCACATTATGAAGTACCTTCCTTGACTGTAAGTGAATAATAGTCTCAAGCATCCTGTGAAATCATGGCACCTCGCGTGCTGTCATTTTCAAGAAAATGCAATGTGTGTATCGACGATGGTCAGCCGACCATTGTTAGAAAAAACCTGACTTTTTTCAAAACATTTGCAATTGGTTACACATCCGTGAAGGATGCAAGCTATCAATATATTGCTTCGTTTCGTCTGAAGTAGGGTCAGGAAACCAGACTTCAAGAAAAAACAATAATTTCTTGGTTTTTCCAGCATCTGTGAACACAAAACTTTAAACAGGTCAGTGTAACAACATTTTATATCAAATACTCAGCCCCAAATCCACCAATTTCTGAAAATTACAGCAAAAGCAAATGTTGTACATCACCTTTAATTTCACAAATCGACCACAGGGACATAATGTATATTATTTTTCTAGCTGTAACGCTAATCTTTGCTGTGCTTCCATTTATTAGGCTACTGTCGTGAGAGTTATCACGAGACAGAATGATGGTGAAAAACAGTACTTTAATAAAAGTCAATTACAGGGAAAGAATTACTACTTCTTGTGCATGTCAAATTCATATTGAAATTAACTCAAGACTCTATTCTCTTATAGACTGATTGTAGGTACATTTTGGGGAACTGTAGAGAACCGATGCATGTATCTTTTGTCAAAAAAAGACTCTTTATGAGATTCAAGATATGGTCAAGATATGGTCAAGATTCAAGAGTTGCCTAACTTGAATAAAACGTCTTCCAGTTGAAAATCAGCTTCGTTTTTTTTAGGAAGGATTTTGTACTTAATGTAATAAAAGAATATATTTTGTGTAAATATTCAAAAATTTTGTGATGAGGGTCCCTGTAAACAGTTACTATAATGTTCTATCTTATAAACATGTATATATTAAATGAATCTGCCTCACATACCAGTACATTCAATATAGCTTTTTTGGGTGAATTGGTTCATTTGCAGTTGGGCGTTGCCAGAAATTGTGTAATAAAAAATGATCACAAAACTTTCCATTACAATAATGTGTAGATATTTAGAAAGAACAAGGAAATGTTGAGTGTTATCATTTTCGAGTCAAATGTGAAATCTGTTTCTGATTAAGAGTGTACAATATTAGTACATGTATGTGTAAGTCAGATTAATAATTTTGTACAATGATTTTGATATATATTGACTGAATGATGTTGAAAAGATTATGGAGGTTTTTTTGGACAATGTGCTTTATGTAATTTTTTTTTTCCAGTTATCAATACGGTGCATTGGAAAACATCTTGTAATGTTAACATGTTACTGTAATATGTAGATATAAAGATACTGATTTATTTTTAAGGGATTTAAATAATTCTCAATAATGTGCAGAAGACCTGCTCCAAATCAGCCTCGTGTTTTGGATACAGTCCTTTCATTAGTCTAGAACGGTCATGTGTCAAGTTGACAAAAACCCATTGTGACATTTTCCCTCATTCAAATATTGCCTTTATACGTAATGATAGGCCTTTTCACAATATCGTCTCATCTGCCTGTTTTGTTTTCAACACATTTTGTAATCCGCTGTAAGCCGAACCAGGGTTCAATTGAACACACACGTTAACAAGGCAATACCGTTACATATAATATATAACCGTAATATAACAGACGTATAACTGTAATATAACAGAGATCATTTTGTGACTGCTGGTTGTTTTTACACCCTTACACCCATTCGTCAACAATTGTAAAATGTCACGCAAGGCTTGACGAATTGCCAATCAGATTATCTGTAGAATAGAAATTTCTAAACCAGGGAGTTTTAGTACATTGAATGAGATATAAAACAAAACAAATTTTATAGTAGTTAGATAGATTTTTGAAACTTTATTCTTCTATTCAATCACATCGTTGAGTACTTTGCCGTTCATGATGTATTTTTTTTTGTAATCGTTCACGTGGTGTAATAATTTATTGAGATGGTATATGAGCATTCTGAACGCGTTCTTGGAGATTATAAATGTGATCATAAATTGTATTCTTGATAATTCAGATATTTGTGTTTAAAAAGCGCATGATTTCGTAATATCTTACACTTGGTAAATTTTGATTAAAATATCAAATGCAAGTTTTTGCTTGAAAAACTTCTTAAATATGTTGTCCCTTTTATGCTTATTTCATTGATAACTCTACTGAATCAGCAATAAACAAATTCTATATTGGAATTTTTTTTTTGAAATGGAAATAACTTGCAGATGCCACATGGTATTAATTTAAAAAGGTGTATTCAGGCATGCAACTTTTCCTCGGATCCTCGGATTTCCTCATTTTACTTCTCATGAATGCCATCACAAATTGAAAAATACTGTCCAATGTCTTGTATGATTGGGAATTTCCTCGTGTTTTTTCTAAATTCCCAGTTGCATGCCTTTGAATTATGCCAAAAAAGGGAAATAAAATTACTGTAAGTCTTCAACTCTTCATATCAAAATGATTCTCAAGAATGGTAAAAATGTTTTTGAAACTACCCACTTTTTTTCATACACAACACACAAAGTGATCCTGATTGTAGCAAATGTTTTGGAAAGAAGTGAAGTGCGCAGTTAACATCGTTTGTGATGCTGACAGCAATGGCTACAGCCCCGACAAGTCTCTGGGCAAAGACCGCCCCCAGTGTTGAAACTTGTCCAGTCCTGCATGCGTGCACGGCATGCTGCTTGTTGTCCATGGTGTAACTGATTTCGGTCGTGAAACTGGTCGCTGTCTGCACGGGTGCTTGCTGAATGTTTGCTGGGTATAACATTGAGAGTAAAATTGATTATGAAGTGCCATGTTTCTTTGCGAAAAATACATCGACAAAGCTAGAATAGCTGACCGAAAAGAGTGAAACCTACTGAAAATTCCAGAAAACAAAAACCAACAATCTCAACTTGCAGATCTCTAATTAAAAACAATTTATCGCATAATTATATATTGGATGGCTTTGAGGGGGATACAAGAATATACTGCACACGCTGTAACAATATTGCATGAGTTGAAGACGAGTGCATGTCGTTATAGCGAGAGCAATATATTCTTGTATCCCACGAAAATAAGCCATCCAATATTAATATTATTACAGTCTCATTAATACAAACTCGTTTGGACCTAGCCAAATTGTTTGTTATATCAGAATTTTGTATTAAGAGGAACATCAGTCCCATTCATTGTGTACATAAATGCACAGTCGGGACTAAGGCTTTATGTTTGTTGTAACCAGAATTTTGTATTAACAGAGTTTGTACTAACGAGATTCGACTGTGTGTATATATGGGTCTGACTTGATCCGCAAGAAATACATTCAGGACACTGTCTTTACTTCTCAATGTTCGTCGAATATTCTTCCCTTACTGAAGCAAATTTCGCGCTGCTCGAAGCTGCCAATGTGGTTGTTGACAACAGTGGGCACATACCCTGATACGCACTGCGTCTGCATGCGACGGTACCGCGTGCTACACTCTGTTGACTGTTTGACAACTGTGAGTTTCCACACTCTTGATTGTGCCGGTGTCATATGAAAATCGGACTCGTATGAAAATCGGACTCTTTTCCCCTTTTATTGGTTAAACCCTCTCACGTGACCGGCCCCTCTCCTAATTATCTATGCATGAGCATGCGCAATACCACCAATGAGTCCGTATTTCATAAAACCTAAATTCATGCTACACCGGAACCAGCGAAATTTGTTGAAATGCCCGATGAGAACTCATCCAGGTACTTTTACTGACATAGTATTGCAGTCATCCGGGTACTTTTTACGAAACCATATAATATGCTGATTTATTTTTACCACTGGAATCCTGATGTAAATAATAATTTCAAATATTTTCTATAGGGGTTTCTATTATCCGCTCACGAGAAGAGAAAGTGGGTAACATTTCACCTGATATTGCAGGGGAGGTCGGCAGTCAGTTCAGTATTGGTTGCCATCAGATGTTGCAACTCCTCTTGTTGACGGCATCTTTTTCGAGACAAAAGTACAATCATTGAATATATTTAGAAATCACAAATCAGAGTTTTTTGTTTATATTTTTTTTATTTGATTTTGGATTTGTTTTCTTTTTACTTGTTTATTTTTTCTTTTACACTGCAAAAGCTGAGGATTTTATGTTCATCTTTTTTGTTTGGATAGAGCCCATAGTACAGTTATGTCTTGTTACACAAAAGAACAATGTTTTTAAAAATTAATTGGCACATGCAGTTGATACAGTTTTAACCTTCTGAAAAGAATAAATATGCACATTGAAAAAAAATTCGATACGATGACCAAAAACATAATATTGTACCTCAACGGTTGAAGAAACTCACATGCATATTTGACTTTTGGGAAACATAAACAAAAAGTGTATACAAACCAATATTAGGGTGGATGTTCACATAAAGTCAGAAAGTCACAATATTTGCCCTTCTACTGCTTATTATAGTATAAACAGGGGTGTGAGTGACCACTGATAAAAAGAGCTGAAAACACCTGAAAAAGGTGTAAAAAAGCTGAACTTTGGAAATCTCCTATACTTTTGTACACAGCAAGTGAAAGAAAAAAGCTGAAATCAGCTTTAAAGCTGAGATTTCACACCCCTGATAAATGTACGATTTCTGATAATTTTCTTTTTTTTTCGAGCCGGCAACTTACATTTTCTTTTCGAGTGCTTCTGACAGCTTCTTGGTGCTGCCTTGCAAACTCTGCTGCCACTGAGATAACTGGGAATGGACCAGGTCCGACTGGAAATTGAAAGATGGGCAAAATAAAGGGAAGATAGAGACAATGTAGGAATTTATAAATATTCATACTTGACTGCAATAAGTGCTTTCTGGCAGTTAACTTTTTGGGGGCCGGTCAATTTTCAATTACCCACGCTGTCATGCATCAGAAGTCTAAATGTGAACAAAAATGAACCTCCAAAATGAAAGTTGAGGACAAAATAATGCAGTTGTAGATGCATCACAGCATTGCAAATATCGGTATAGCAAAACAAAACACATGCACAGCATGTGGACATAAATGAATTCAATGAGTGTACGTGACGAAGTACAGCTTCCATAACTTGAAGTTTATGGTACATATCGTGACATACTGTATTATGACCTCAGTATTGCTGACTCTGTGAACTCTGTGGTTAATAAAAAATTACCAAAATTTTTTAGGAGGGCGGGGGAAGGGAGGGGGAATAAAGAGAGGGCCGCACATCAATCAATGCACTGAACACACTCGCTGCACAAGGCCCGCATGCGCATGGCGTTCTGTACGCGAACGTGGCTTAAAGCATCAGGCTCAGGCCAATTCTAAAACCCCAGCTTGTCTCCATTTCATGGCAGTCCAGCAAATAAAAAAATTTGGGGGAACAAAGGTAAACCCGGGCACCACATGAAAAAATCTCGCTACGCCACCGTCACAAAGCGCCATGTACTATTCATGCACAGAGTCCACAGTATCGTAAAGAAAAATTGGTATTATTTAAAGCTTGAGTCCATCATTTGAAAAACATACTTGGTTGAAAGATAGTAAGGGGACTAAACTCCCTGTGAAATTATTCTTTCTGGCAAGCTGTCATTTGAAGAAATCAACAAAAGAAGGCCTTTCCAATGGTGCTTCTTAAGATGCACCGTAGGAAATTTAAATTAGTAGCTCGTTTTGTTTTGCAGCGAAGTGCGAGCAAGCATTGGCACGACGCACACGCGCGCGCGGTTGCTATAATTCATCGGATCAGTGCGCGACATCGCGTAGCTGCAATGGGCTCATTGAGAACGTGTCTCGGACGCTGAATTCAGGCCCAATTCAAAACATGATTCAGCAACTTTTGATTTGAAATCAAGATCCTAAAATGCTGTTTTTCTCGGAATATACAGCTGAAGCTGAGCTGAACTTCATCAGGTTAGTTGTTCAGCACCCTTCTTTAGATTTAGAGCACGTTTGTTGCTTCAAACGAACAAAATGCACAAATTACAAATGATGGACTATATCTTTAAATACCCCAAGCTCTCCCATTTTCAGAACATATGCCAGTGTTTTGCTACTATCTAGGCTCACCCTTTTCTTTCTCTCGGCCTCTAGCTCCTCCCTGATCCTCTGGGCTTCTTGGCCCGCCGTCTCTTTGGCCAGTTTCTCCTTGTGCAGCTGGCTGCTCAGGGCCTGGTAGCTGTCCTGCAGCTGGGCCGTGGTGGCTGTCAGCGTGCGGTTGGTGTGGCTCACGGTCTGCAGGTGCAGCTGGGATTTGTCCAGGGATGCCTTGGTCTGTGGAGTGATGACGACGATGTATAATTACAGCAACTGTGCTGATCAACCTTGATCAAGTGGCTCGTCACTGAACGCGATCTGCTGTGGATGCTTTCAGAATAGGTCATGTATAGGGCACCTACCTCTACCGTACTGTTTGTTTCACTAGTACTTTTGTTCACTAGCCAGCCGGGCTACTGAAACGGACTATTAACTAGCCATTTTCACTAGCCCGCAATTTTTTTCTTATCTCAAATACAAAATGGTGTATTTTCAGGCTCAATTCTGAGGCAATTTTGTCAGTGTTTTTGATTAATAGATGATAAAATTAGACACAAATTCATGGGGTTTTCTTTCTGAATTTAATGATTTATTTCTTCCTGTACGTTCATCTTTGCCTTATCCCAAAAAAATTCACACGCCAGCCAGGCTAGTTAAGGAATAGTTTGACTAGCCCGCCGCTGTTTTGACTAGCATATGGCTAGCGGGCTACCGCTAATTTCGAACCCTGCCTTTACCTTGACCACTGTAATGGGTGACTTCCATAAAAATAAAAGACAACGAAATTGTTTGACAGACAGTGTCTTGTATGATAAAAAATTTTGTGTTGGGAGATGTACATTTTGGAGTTTGCACTGTACATATGTTTACTGCATATCTCCTGCAAAAGTAAGCAAGAATTATTTGAGAATTATTTCTTGCCAGCTCGTGAACAGCACTGAGTATACAGTCCTTTAAAAAAAAATTCATTTGTGAAAGGCAAACCCCAGTAATAAAATTTGTATCTTTCTGAAAAAGAAAAAATCAATCCAACAGACAAGGTACAAACTGAAATACCAGCTGCTGTATTTGGTTTGAACCAACGGTGCAATCTCAGCAAACTCAGCAGTTGAAAACTATGCAGTGCTTATGAGTGCTGCTTATGCCCTCCTCACTAGCACGTAGGTCGTGGGTTCAGGTCCCACCAAAGCAAACATGTTACACCTTAGTTACACCAATGCCTGCATTCACGTCTTCAGTCTTCCCCACGCATACCTCGTTAAGATGATCGCTCAGCTGCCGTCTCTGCTGCTTCCACTGCTCACGCTTGGTCTCCAGCCTGTGGTTGGCCTGCTTCAGCTCCTGCTGTAGCTCGGCCCGGTCCTGGATGGACTGCTCCAGGGCCTGGTGCAGGCGACGGATCTCCTGGGACTGGGAACGGTTCTCGGTCTGCAGGTCCTGAAGGGTGGTGGCCATCTGATGGAGGTCCCCTGCGTGAGATACTAGCTCGGCATCCAGCTGGGAGCGATTGCTGTCAGCAGAGTAGAAAAATTTTAACTATAAAATATTTCCATAGACTGAGCCAATACAGGGTGTATCAGAATATTGGAAACCCCCCTAAAAATGGGTTAGTATGTGAAAATGATTTACTTTCCTTATTGATTTCAAAACAGAGAATCACTTGTAAATCCCTTGTGTCTTCTGGTAGTGACTGCCTGGAAAAGAGGATTAATCCTAGATAATGCTGTCTATAGCTTGTTATGACAAGTTTAGCGTGCATGTCTTTTAACATGTTTTAATTCATTTTGAAATCAAGACAAGTGTCTTGCAAAAAGGACACAACCTGACCATGGGGCAAAACGGCAAGTACTTTCTACTCAAAGATGTTGCTCAAAGATACAAAGATTTCATCTAAAAAAAACCCACATCAAACCACAAGTCATACTGATGTTGCATATACCAAATTGTTTAAGACGAAAGCATGTCTCAAAAGTCACTGCTGTTAACCATTCCCAAAACACAGCTTGTAGCACAGTCAATGTATTTTGTGCTGTGGACGATCGAGCAAACATGTTCACTGAGAATAAAGTGTTCTATTTGTCCTACGAGTTAAATTTCAAACCTTTTCTACTTTCCTAATGCCCTTAATCCAGGCATGCAACCAGGAAGGCACACAGTAAGAGGATATTCTAAGCTGTACAGGACACTCTGCAGTGGTTTTCAATTTCTCTTTTACTGGAGAGGTACAAATGAAGAAATCAGCTGATCCGAGGAAATGTTACAGCCTGTTACAAGGACATCCTGGGTCGAGCAACTGGGACCACCAGGTCCCAGTTGACAGGCTATGGAACCAGGCTACAAACCGCGGACACAGGAGATCAGCGCGACAGACCCCAGATGTCTATGCGGTAGAGTGCGTTTGTTTATGGTGTAAATCAAGGACACACACGTACAACATCATCGGTGAATCGAGGCCAGGAACCAAATCCAGGACGACCTCAATTAGAAAATGTGTACAAAACCAATGAGAGCTGTTTCGAAAAAGTACAAACAAAGGAAAAGGGAAGAGGAACATAAGAAAATCCTTGATTTACACCATAAACAAACGTGGGTGAGTGAGTGAGTGTTACGGTGCTGGAGCTATGGGGGGGGGGGGGGTACTCTGATCAATAGGTTAAACAGGGGACAAGCTCACTTTCTTTCTTGGTGGAGCTCTTCCATCAAGGCTTCCTTCTCTTTCCTGGCCTCTTCATCTCTCCTCTTGGAGTCGTCTTGAATCCCCTGCTGCCGTACCGCCTCCTGTCGGAGCTTCTTCTGCAGTCTAACGTTCTCCTGCTGGGCGAATGTCAACTGGATGTTGAGCTGGTGTATCTTCTCCTTGGACTCAAAGCTGAGGATGTCCAGTTTGTTTTGGAACTCTTGGGAGTCAGTACTGCTCTCGAAGGTATGTGCTTTGGCCTGTTCCAATTCTGTGGGGGAGTTTGGGCAAATAATGACTTTAAACAATGTGGCAAGTAAAACATGTTGTCCAACTGATGGCACAGTTTGGGTACTCAGATTGCACAATTTGAGCACTTGGACAGCACAATGGGGCACTGAGACGGCACAATTTGGGCACTGAGACGGCACAATTTGGGCACTGAGACGGCGCAATTTGGGCACTGAGACGGCGCAATTTGGGCACTGAGACAGCGCAATTTGGGCACTGAGACGGCACAATTTGGGCACTGAGACGGCGCAATTTGGGCACTGAGACGGCACAATTTGGGCCCTGAGACGGCACAATTTGGGCACTGAGACGGCGCAATTTGGGCACTGAGACGGCGCAATTTGGGCACTGAGACAGCGCAATTTGGGCACTGAGACGGCACAATTTGGGCACTGAGACAGCGCAATTTGGGCACTGAGACGGCACAATTTGGGCACTGAGACAGCACAATTTGGGCACTGAGACGGCGCAATTTGGGCACTGAGACGGCGCAATTTGGGCACTGAGACGGTGCAATTTGGGCCCTGAGACGGCGCAATTTGGGCACTGAGACGGCGCAATTTGGGCCCTGAGACGGTGCAATTTGGGCCCTGAGACGGCGCAATTTGGGCACTGAGACGGCGCAATTTGGGCCCTGAGACGGCGCAATTTGGGCACTGAGACGGTGCAATTTGGGCACTGAGACGGTGCAATTTGGGCCCTGAGACGGCACAATCTATGCACACAGATGGCACAATCTGTGCACTCAGCACAACCTGGGTACTCAGACGGCACAAGACGACACAATTTGGACAAGCAGAAAGCAAACTATTGATATGGCACATTTTGTGAAATGAGACGGCATAGTTTCCAAACAGAGATGGCACGAGTTTTTGAATCGAGACGTTATTTTGGCTCAGAAAACCTGAAATGAACTCAGCTTAAGCTTTATGACCAACCTTTCTGCTTCCTATCCAGCTGTAGTCTCAGGTCCTTGGATAGCTGCTTGTGTTCCTGGTCATGAGCGATGAGATTCTGATATTCCTGGGTCAATGTGGTCAGCTGGTCAAACAGGTGAGCTTCCAGCTGGACTGAGGTCAAACGCTGCTCCTGTAAAAAAGGATATTGTAACTCCAACTTAGTATCACAAGCACATATCATCTTCAACATGTCATTGGGAAACTTTTTTCAGAATAAGTGGATGCCTGACAGTACCAATAAAAGGAGCTAAACACAAACAGTATTGTCATAGTAAGCAAAACAATCAACATAGTGATATATAAATACAACACGGCCTAAAGAGAAGTAGTGTGATGAGAAATTTCAAACTAACAATTTTGTTTCCCTGTTACATATTGTGAGCCAATCCTTTTTGGTGTGCAAGATAACATATTGAAACAAGTAAATAATTCAAGCATTGTAAGATGGAATTTTGCGTCAGGAAGATGTAAATTTAGTTTAGTCCCACCCAAGTAACCTTGTGAATATTTTTTGTTCGCAAGCCTTCGAACAACACTGAGTATACAGTGTTTATGAAAGTATGTCGGTGAAGGGCAAAACCCAATTTGAAATACAGTGAAATCTGGATAAAGTCAAACCTCAAGGGAACAGGTTCAAAATTTGACTTAAGCAGAGTTTTGAGTTAAGCAGGGTTGTATATCATTGTTATACTACTGAAGGCAATGTTAAGTCTTTGTTTGACTTAACAGCTGTTTTGAGTTATCAGAGTTTGACTTATTGGGATTTCCCTGTACTTCATATTTATTCTAATTTTTAATTGGAGGGGGGTGAAAAGAGAAGTGTTTCTCTACCTTCATTCGTGCGGCCATCTCCTCTTTCTCTCTCTCAAGTTCCGCAAGCCTTCCTTCCATCTCGCAACGCACCCTCTTGGCACTCCCGCACTCCGAAAGGATCACGCTGCTACCTAGAGCGCCCCCTGGTGACATGAAGGCCATCGACTGCTGACTGCGATGGAAGCTGCTTGGCGGTCTGCTGTCGTCCGTAGAGGAGTCAGATGCTGAGGAATATTTGGCCTCGGTGTCGGGCAGGGTTAGGTTCACGGGCTTACTGACGGGCGGGTGGTGAATGGCGCCATCTTTTATGACCAGCTGAAACAAAATGATTACACCTGTCTTTTACGTATTCTGTACACAAGTACCCTCTCCACGGTTATAAAGAGAGACATGGGGGAGACCACTGGTTGGGACTTTCGAACACATTGCCGATGGTAACTGATGCTCATGTGAAAATGCTTCCAATTTGGTACTATGAAATTTACTTTCACATCAAGCATCAACTGATTCCAAATTCGTAAACACAACTTTAAATTGTAAAATATATTCAACCATATGAACAGGCCGTGGCTCTGACTTAACAGTATTAGCATTGAGTTCAAGGCGAGAATTATGGCTAACCATAGTTTGACTATCTCTGCTCAAACCCAGGCTGGCCAACTAAAGTTGGACTAATCTGGTCAACTTTTCGGGACCACCTTCCAAGGTCAGTTGCATGACTGTACGTCAAGGAGTCAGAAACATGAATTTTTGTGAAGACATTTTGACCATCATTTCACAAGAGATGTTTGCACGTTGCTTTCAGTGCAGAGGTGTAAGTAATGTCATGCGACTCAACAGTCACAGAGGCAAAATCTGAAGGGAAAGCCAGTGCATCCACAATTGCTTATGTCTTCCCTGACGTTTCCAACTGTACCTCTTGTGCAGGAAGCAAGCTCTTTTTATCTTCTGGTGAATTTGCTGCCGTTTCCTGTTTGACTTGGCCAGAAGTTGCATGAGCTGCCTCAAATTCTGTAACGAGTTAAGTATTGTTAAGGCCAAAAAAAAAAAGTCTCCGGTTTCTGGTATGGAGCTTGCCCCAAAAGTGGTGCGGCGACGCGGCTTTTTTTCTTTTTTTTTAAATGTTTTTTTTTGGGGGGGGGCTTCAAATGTCGGCTGATGACTGCAAATGGTGCCCGACTAAACTTAGTGCAAATATATGGGAGTCCAGAGAGGCCACATAAAGCTTATTCTCGATCATAACCCCATCTAAAAACACGTTAGAATTGTGCAGCAGCAGGATTCCAGTCAAACCAGTGAGTTTGGCGGTTTTGAGACATCATCTTGTATTGAAAAAAAAACTTTTTCATTTTGCCGACGCGCATGGCTGCGGTGACGCGCGCGCATACCAGAAACCGGAGACTTTTTTTTTTTGGCCTAATAACTGTCCGGGTTGATTTCTTTGTAATCACTAATCATGAGCCTACATTGAGCACAAACAAACAGAAAATTAGGAATAGCGGATTTTAGTTATGTTAAGAATTCTAAAGGGCACAGTCTCATATACAACCGGTGAAATTCCCACGAAAATCCGTTGATGCTATCTTGACTTTGGGTTCTAATAAAACACAATAATAACACTCACGCAAGTCAGTCTTGTCTGTGATATCTCTGGTTTGCATCAACTGATTTTAATGGCAATTGGAGTAAAACAAGACTGTATACTTTAGAATGCTACAAAAAATGAAAATCTAGTCTTCCTCTCTGAAAATCTAGTCTTCCATACAGTTTCTTCATGTTTACTGGGACATGCTGTATAGACTTTGGAATTTTCAAAAATGGGTTTATATTGCATAAAGAATCTACAAACAGAAAATTAAAAAAAAACAGAAATAAAACCAAATTGAGAGACAGAACAGAATTTGTGGATCAAAAGTTAGTAAGTGCTGAGCTAACCTTGACTTTTGGAGATGGCGTCTTCTATCTGTTTCACCTTCTGTTCCAGCTCAGCTTTCAACTGTTCCAGTGTTTCACTGTTCCTGACGGTGCTGCACAAACATATTGGTAGACCCAAATGTTATACTACACAACTGCTTACAATTATTTCATCACTGGCTTCCATAAGGGAAACCTACCATGCGGAATGGCTTTCCATCTATATTTCATTGCATGGATTAGCCCTAACTGAAATTTTTCCGATTTTGCGTTGTTTTTTCCTTCAACTTCAACAAGTGAATTTCCTCCAAGATTTCCTCTCCGCAGATCCCACAAAAGAACAGCATTGTAAACAATACAATTGTTAACAATATACAGCATAATACATTATCACATATGACAATCATTGGCATTTAGAATTACTAATCTCAGCACAATACCTGTGAGGTGGCAGATCAAGCTGCAGATTTTGAGCCTCTAACTTGTCTTCAATCACAACCTATGTGCATACAAATAAACAGAATGAATTAATAATTAAATCGGAATTAATCAACAGCCACTTACGACTCAATATGGCAAATTTAAGGGTGACCCGAGATCTTCACCCTGATAAGCTGATGCTGTTCTGTTAGTCAACCGAACCTGTTCATCACTGGGATTATTTTGTTTATACTATTCAATGCAATTCTGTAAATGGAACTTTTTATGCGCTTGTCATGATTGCCTCCAAAGAAATTGAAATACGAAGAATTAACTTGCTACAATTCACATAAAAGTGACAAATAAATATTACAAATCCAAGCACAAAGTTACCCAAGACTTCACCACATTAATCTCATGTTCTATTGGTCAATGACAAATTGTAAGCACTATAAGTAATCAGAAAAGCACCCAGGATTTGCTTTCGGTGGGGGGGGGGGCGGCTCGCAATTTTTTTTAAATTTATTTTAGAAATTTGAATTGAAAAAAAAAAATGTTTCCAAAATTGTTTGGCCGCGGAAAAAAATGGGTTGTTAATTTTTTTGGGGGGGGGAGGGGACAGACTATTTTGACGTTGGTGGCTCCATTTACACCCCTATCATACTACTCGAAAATAGGCCACATACATATCATCATGGTCAAATCGTGGGACTAAAAAAAAATTGACCAAAAAAAATATATAAAAAACAAAATTGACAACCTCTTGGGGGGGGGGGCTCAAGCCCCCCAAGTGCCCCCCCCCCCCCTCCTGAGTGCACCACTGTTAGTATTTTTTTTCATTTCAATTTTAAACGAAAAACTTTCTATAAACCTGCTGTGAACACCTCAAGTTTGGGGAAGTAGCAGTGCTTTATTTGATTGGTAACAACCTTTAACCAGAGGTGGCAAAATGGTTATGAAAGTTGGGTGATGTGCCTTCAGCGGACACAACAGGAGTGGGACGACAAAGCCTAAATATTTGGGTGAACACACAAACCTTTTGATGCTGCTGTGGTTTTCTTAGCAGGTCTTGAGCGTCATGTCTGCTCCAGTACAAGTAGCTAACGGCCGCCTCTAAGAGTGCTGGATCCCTGTGACTATCCAGACCCTGCCCTCCTCCCTCCTTCTCTAACATCTTCAGGATGTACCCAAACTCCTTCTTCCTCTGATAATGAGGATTTGTGGAGAGAAGATGACAATCAATGGAAAGATTATATCCCTGAATAATACAGAACTCAATTCATCAAGAAGAAAGCTTGCAACTAAAACTGGTTTCTGTTTTAAAGGCATATGATCATTTGCATTTATCCCAAAAGTAACCTAGATCAAATTATTATCAAAAAGCTACCTTGGACTAAAAATCGTACTGGTACTAAACACCCCCTGAAATTATTCCTTCTGGTTAGCTGTCATGTAGAAGAAATCAAGACATGTCAGGTGATTTCCAACGATCAGTCAATTTTAGACATAAAGAGTGCTATAAAATCGTGCTTTGTGATCAAAAGGTTGTGCATGGTTTTAGCACTGTTTTCTTGAAAAGTGTAATGCCCACTGAACTGAAACTTCAACAGGCTAGGTTTTGAGCATTCTTCTTTGGGTTTTGAGTGGTGCTATTATAGGAGAAGAACTGAACAAAATGCATGAAAAGCAAATGATCCTGTATGCCTTTAAATGTATGTTCGTCTATTCAGTTTCGAGTGGCACTAGGATAATGCAGCTAGGCTTCAAAAATAGTTCAGGCTTCTGTAAAATTCATGCATAGTAATGACATACTGCATACCTCACTATTAAAAGGCCTATTTCTTTAGCTGAATCGATGAGGAGAACTTTTTTATGAATCATTTTACATCCTATAAGCTTTCATTTGTGGGGAATCTGAAGTAAACTTAAGGGCTGTTTGGGTGATCACTGATTAGTATCAAACCACTGCAGTAAAACCTTTGATTAAAATTGTGAATTTAACCTCATATATTGTATTGGCTGCACTTGTTGTTTCTGATGGTCTGATGTCCCTACTTTTTCCTCATTAAAAGAAAATTTAACACTTACCACAGAATCCTCTTCTATGGGCATGGTCACCTTGTAGGGCTTCCCTAGGCCCTCACTGGTGCTGAGATTGGCCTCCAGATCTGCAATCTTGGCTTGGAAAGCACTGCCATAGCCAGATGAAGCTGTTGATGGGCTGCCGCTTCCCAGATAATCCCTCTTGATGTCTCTGAGGGATCTGTCGTTGTCGTTAATGATCATTTTCAAGCCTGGGTCTCGGATGGATTGAAGTTGCTGGGGAGCAGGGGATGACTTGTGATGGCTGTCGATCAGTCTTTGAGCTGCCCGCATCTGTTGGACGTAGTCGTCCTGACTGCTGTCGGAAGAGCAGGTCAGGTCTGCCGTTGGGTCCTGTGCCTGGACGGGAACATCTTTGGCACTGTCGCTACTAGATCTGGACTCCTGTTTTGCATTCGGAGTCCCGTGGAAGTGGTTGGAGGACTCGTCGTAGTAAGTACCCTCAAAGCTTGAGATGCCCGATTCCACATGCTGACTTTTGGCGAATTCTTCAGCCAGATGTCGGGCCATGTTCTCCAGTGGACCCGGGGCACTTGCAACCCTCCTCCCAGGCTCAGGTCGGTCTTCGCTCCTGGCCGCATAGGAGAGAGAACCCAGGACGGCCAGTCTGAGCTTCTCATCGATGGACACGCCAGGGATGGCATCGCTGATTTGCTCGCTCAGGACCCGATACCGCTCTTTCACAGCCTTCAGGGCAATTTCCGGATGCGACTTGTCATCCTCTCCGTCTGCTTGGTTCAGTGTTACAGGAGCACTTGCGTGGTGGGCTACATGAACTTGCTTGGTACCCCTTCCCCCTGGTTCTCCTTCCTTAGATTCCTTAGATGGGGCTTCGGTATCATCAGCGCACGTAGGCTTTGTGCCAGTTGGAGACTTCTGCCTGCCGGGAGTCACAATGGCAGAGAGCACTTGTTCTCCGCCTTCAACATGCTGGCTGTAATCACACAGAAGCTCGATGCTGGATCCAGAGTGATGAGGAGATAAAGCAAGATTGTCATGATGTTGTGCATCATCGTCGAGTCTCTCAAACTGGAGATCCGATGGAGAAGCCTCTTTACCATTCACTTTAATCTCCTTCACCACATCAGGTGGGGAAAACTCTGGCAATTCTTTGACAAATATGAAAGGGGATAAAAAGTTTTTTAATGTGAATCCAAATTTTGATGTAAATTGAGCCAAAGAGCAAATTAATAATACACTACAAGAGTTGAAAAAGAAGTAAACCGATTGTTTTGTTTAATTTACACTTTGTAAACAGGAGAGGAGTTAGGCTCTGGTATTGTTCAGTTTAATTTCTGGTTGAAAACATTAATCTCAAACATCAGAAAGAAGATGGGAAGACAAAGCAAATACCATAAACACAAACTCGCAAAGTGGGGCAAGAGGAGCATTTTCTGTTTAACTTTCTGGAAGTATAAAGTTTTTAATGCCCCCCCTCCCCCATTTATTGCATCCCAATGCAGACATAGATACTTTGCCAAATTTCAGCGGCATTTTCCTGCGGGACTCAAACACCATGTTGGAGGCATTAAGGTTTTTAAATTGAGCAGCAACAAAATGTGGGGACACAACACACCATCAGTGAATTTTTTTATCATTTGGGCATCATTTTTCAAACCTTGCTTGGAAGTTTTCAGTGATTCTGATTCCGCCATCTCACCTGCATCTTTTGTCTTGGTATCACTGGTTGTCTTGACAACCTCTATCCCACTCGCCAACTCATCCACAGTTGCCTGACTGACCCCGATCCCAACCTCTGACCCGCTGCCACTCTTCTCCGCGTCAAGTAATTTCTTCTTCTTCTTGGTCTTCTTCTTTGGGATCTTGGACAAGAGCCGTCGCTTTGGAGAGGCGTCCTCGGAGGAGGGGGTCACGTCTTCCTGGCTCCGCCCCTCGTCTGAGCTACTACTCAGGCAATTGGTCAGGATCTTGATCCGCCCCAGCATACCGTGGCTTGACCTGTCAGAGGGGTGAACTCATTACCTTCCGATAGTTTTTATTGCTCAGGGTTCAAAGTTTTGTTAGAGTTCAAGATGTTGCAACCAGTACAACCTGGAGAACGTTCCAGAAAAGTTGGCTTAAGAGTACCGTAACCAACTGTCACTCAGTGCTTTTAACAGAATTTTAATGACTTAACCGACATGTATGATTTGCTTATTATTAGCTCCTTGCGCCGAACAAGAGAGGGTGCATTTTTACCAATTTAGAGAGCCCCGTGGACGAGACACACTGTGTGAGCATACATACTGAAATTTGTATTCTTGTAGAGACATCTTTGTTCTCGTGTACTAAAGTTTTTGAGTTTGAAAGTACAATTTCAAAATGCTCTTATTTTAACCAGAATTAATTTCCTTGGCTGACATTCGGCCTTAATATCCCTTTTCTAAAACTCTACCATTTGCGACGGATCAACATACCTTGGAAATTCTTAGTTTTTTTAGTAGAATCCATATATCTATTTCGTGAAAACCTTGTGGAGACGTATTCATCTATAGAAATTGCCCTGTGGAGACGTATACAATCTTTTGTTCCCTATTGTGTGCATGTCTCCAGAGGGCACAGCGTATCAGATCATACTGGTTCACACGCATAGGCCTACAACGTGAAGTACGCACAATTTATTTCATCAGAGTGCACACAAAGCCACAGTGTCTTCAAGTGAGTATCAGGCGTCGTTAGCAATGCATTCAACTGTCTCTCCCAGTGGTCTCCCCCAACTCTCTCCCTTTCTTACCGTTGAGGGGGGTCCTTGTGCACGGAGCCCATATTACACTAGAAGGGATTCAAAGTACAGTTTGCCAAGTAATGTTTCCACCTTTTGAACTTGATCATGCATCCACTTCAGACCCACTACATTTTCCGTGTTCAACAAGGCGAGTGGGACAAAATTTATTTTATTAAATTAATTTATGCACTGTAAAGATGGAGCACGCAAGCTGTGGTTTAATACTTTATCCTATTAAAAGAAGGAATTTTAAGAAGGAATAGCAGTGGTACCCGCTGCTATGTACATCAGATTCGAACCAGCCAACCGATCCCGTTAGCTCGGTGGTCGAGTGGTAAGACATCTGCACTAGAAAGTAGGAGGTCGTGGGTTCGAGTCCCACCCGAGTGATTTTTTCCAATTTTCACTCGGGAGGTAACACACTGAGTATACAGTGTTTAAACGTCGGTGAAGGGCAAAACCTAATTTGATACTTTATCCTATTACACATGCATGCAGCAGGAACAGCGCGCCTCTATTAATAATAGAATATCGCATAGCTCCAAATACATGCCTCGCAATATGGGATAGCACTGTTGTTACAATGGACTGACCAATCAAGATCAAGGATTCAAGTTTGCTTTCAATATGAAAATAAATGTCAATTTTTACATTATTCAACAAATGAATTCACTGTACACTACCGACATTCTTAGTTGAGATACCTTTTGCCCTCTGTGATTCCAGCTCCTCTCTCACCCTCGATGCCATAAGCTGACCTACGGGCGGTGATCCCCTCGTGAGACCCATGACCTTTGACCTCTGCGCCCAGTCCCGGGTCAGCCAAACCGCTTTCGTATGTCTTGGATGACGAGTTGCACTTGTTGAGGTGAGTATGAGGAACAAAGAGTGGATCGCTGGACTTGGACTGACGAGCCATTTCGTTGGCTGAGATGAAAAATACAATCAATGATTTTCATCGGTGAATTACTGTCAGTTTCAGCCTTCTACTGTTGAATTTTAATAACTTTCTATTAAAAACAGCATAGCTTATGGTAATTCCTTGTCTGGTTTTTTTTTTTGGGGGGGGGTATAGGGTCTTCAATTTTGAAGTGGGGAGGCGGTAAGGGGTGCAGGTGGGGTAATAAATGGGGACATAGAAGGATTTTCAACTCCTAAATTTAACCTTCCCACATCTCTCCCCAACTTCCGCCAGGGTTTTATCTTAGTACCTGATGCTAGGGTGACTGCCTTGACCAGTAAGCCACTCAACCTGGTCACGCTGTCATCTTGCAGTTCTTCTTCGTCTGGCGCACTGAGGAGCTCTGTGTCAGACTTGCTGGATTCAACAGTTGACAAATCCCCTGAAGTGCAGGTACAAAACAAAATATGATGCATTCACTATGAGTGGCGTGATCCTGCAGTTATCGTAGCTGACTTACTACCTTTGCCGGATCTTCTACATGTGGGTTATAATACATTAATAAGCATCATGACTTTTGTCCCTGGGCAAGATAGTTTACTACAATTGTTTCTCTCTAATGATGGAAATGGATCCCTACTTTATTGGTGTGGGTATAAACTGCACGTAAATCCTTTTCTTTTCTTCTTTTTTTCCCCATTTTTTTGTGTTACTTTCATCTTTTTACTAGGTTTATTATTTTTTTTTAATTATGTGTCCCTTAAAACTCATAACGCATACCTTTAGGCACATGGTCATCATCATTGTTGTCAACATCAATTGCCTGTTTGGAGATATTGACATCTGCACGGCTGTGGTGTGGCCTCACATACCCATGATCTGCATAGGAGGCGTGCTTCTTGGACCTAAATGTAAATACATGTAAAATTTATATTATTAGTCCACATTAGTTTTTGCTTTACATTTTCCAAATGAAAGCTTTGAATGTTTGTTGAACTTACCCAGGAATGTGATATTAGCAATGCTGAAAAAAAACAAATTATTATTTGGAAGAATCGCCAAATAAATTTCCCCCTAACGACTTCCCCTCGATCCCCGAAATTCTTCAAGTTAAAATGCAGTTAAGTGCTTCTTTTTATTTTGGACAGAACTGATACACATGGGTGACTTTTTTTGTCATAACAATTTCCATGGTACTAGTTTTCTCATTCTGGGGTTCTTTGTAGAGTAATGTTATGTCAAATTAGAGTAATGTTATGTCAAATTTTAAAACATAATTTAAAATAGGCCCGCTAGGCCTAAAGTAAATAAAATAAAATAAAATAAAATAAAAATAGGGCTTAATAATGCTAGGTTAAAACGCTGTTCATTGCTTATATTTTCTGATTGACAATTAATATGTCCAAGGTATATTATTCAAGAATAAGACTGAGGGTTGAATGGTTCTCTTTCACTGTTTCAGACATAGCCTACCCAAAAAAATGATGCGAGTACGACCCAACGTTGCTTCCCCGTTCGATACTGGTGGCAGGCCGCGGCCTGTCCGCTGATGTCAACGACGCGCGTAAGTTCACGGTCTTCGCCAACAAGCATGACAAGACGGCGGAGTCGACATCGGTTCCGCTATTGCTCCCGGCCTCGACCGCCCCATTCGCGGTCTTCGTTCCACTACCATCGTTCTTTGTAGGTTCTTGGGCATCCAGTTTACCTCCATTCCCATCATCCATTGTTTATACCCGGTGGGAACGGGTCGAAATTGTTGAAATACCTCACTTTCTTTCCACTCTACAAATTTCCACCGTTGTCCTCCAGAGAGTTATTTTTTGTTGTTGTTCGTTGACCTTTGACATTCTCTAGGCGCAAGTTTTCTGACGTCACACACTCCAAGGAACTTTCATCCAATCACAATCTCGTTTCGATTTGTGATCGCCCAAAAGGTACAAATATGAATATTCATGATCAAGTTAGAGCAGACGAAAACGTCTGGCTAAAATCACGAGAGCGCGCGGGGCTCAAAAGGCGACGATGTAATTTTATTCCTTTTGTCTTTTCCTTCATATCTCTCAGCAAAATCATTACTAACTCAAAACAATCACTGACAAAATGCACTGTCTTTCAAACAATTTTTTTGTTCACAAACAATTTTAATACAAACCCGTTTTACGTTAACTCAATTGTTTATTTACAACAAATATTACCAGTCATACAATCTTTGGATGTGATTAAATGTCGCACTTCTGTGACAGCTAAGCTTAGTATTACAGCTGCAAAATATTGTACATAAAACTGAATGCTTTACTGGTATGCGGATGAAAAAAATAAAAAGAAAAAAAAATGGAAAATTTAGCAATTAATGGAATGTAGAAAATCTTCAGCAATTCCTCTTTTTTTTTTTTTAAATCAAACCATACCCTTTCTTACAATCACAATTTAACTGAGTGTACTATATGGCAGCTAGAACACTCAGGCATGTTTAAAAATATATATATTGTATTAGTATCTGTGTAATTCCGAAACAAAACAGGAATCATATACGAAAACAAAAAAGCTTAAAATCATAAAATAAAAATCACAAAATTCAAACATAAAACAGCAACTTTGTTTTATACATAATACATCGTGTTGGTTATGTATTTCAGTGAAAACTTCACTTTTTTTCAAATACACTGTACATTTTAGTAATAATTAATAATTAAAAAGGTTATTTGTTCTAGAAATTTGATCTGGGAACCATTCTTTACTGCTTTCCAAATTGTTCTTATACAACAATGGAGTGATGAAAAATAATAGGTTCTAAAAATGATGGGTTTTTTTCTCCAAACACAATATCACTGGCCATATTACTGTCCATCCAATGCACTGCGTAGAACTTACAATCTCAAGTCAAGTAAAAAAAAAAAATTCACTTTCTTGATGCATTTATTACATCGAATCAACTATTTACCATAAACTTTGGAATGGTAGTGGTTTTTTTTACTTCAATTATCCTACAAAAAAAAGGCAGATTCAACTGTCACATTGAAAATATGCAATAAGTGTGTCTCCCTATGACACAAATATATTTCCCATAAAAATTAAGTTACGCACACCCACTCCAATAAAATTTATTTTTCAAACATTCAATATTCGATATCTTTTAAAATGTATTTATATCAGAGAGACTTTTTTGGTTTATTTCTAGCTAAGTATTGAATACTGATCACAACAAGAGTCAAAGATTCTGTTATATTGCATTTTCAGAACAATAGGGTATGTCATACCTAGCATTTTTACACAACCTGGGTTTTTTAATACAAAGGTTTGACCAAAAATAACAAAAAGTAGACACACATTTGATAATTCTTATATTACACACCTTATACTACACATGATCACCGGTGTTTTAACCAATTCTACAAAAAAAATGAAATTGCATCATTACCAAGGATGAAAAATGTACCTATGGCCATGTCAAGAGAGACCTTTCTGCACACGCCACTTTCAAAAGAATATGGCAAAAAATATTTGTGGTTTTACCAGCCCTTGGAAATGTTTAATTTCAATGCATTGGCAAATATGCAAAGTATTAGTGATTACCCAGAATAATCAAGAGTAATCACGTACTGGGGGCAAAGGAAATGTCAATAAGTCTTGACCAAAATTTTATGCAGTTCTAGAAAAGGACCCCAAGTTAACATTGTTCTTGAAAATGAGGGGAATAAATGAAAACAGGGCCCAATTTCATGGCGCTGCTAAGCACACGATTTTATGCTAACAGAGTCTTCGTCTATTTCACGGAGACCGTAAGCATAAGCACAGCAAAAGGCACGCTAACCTCGGGGGAAAAATTTGCTTAACTTAGTGACGTAACAATAGAAATCTCCATGCATGCGTGACCGTTAGCACGTCCACGCCGTGAAATAGTGCTTAAGGTTAGCAAATTCTTCTGCTATGCTAAACACAACTTTTCTGCTAACTGTTAAGCAGCGCCGTGAAATTGGACCCAGGTACTTTAATAGGTCTTTCATTCAAGCAAGTGGCTCACACTAGGCTTGGGCGACTCCAGTATTTTTTTTTTTCACAATGCCATCTGAATAAACTCCAAATTTACTAAGTAAAAGGGGGGAAAAAAACAATTTGGAAAACATTCCTACTACATGTACATGTATATCACAATGAAAGATAGTGCCGAATCACAAAATGCAGGGTGCTAATTATATTAATTTTATACAACGTGAATTTTTAATAGAGGTGTTTGAAGTCTATTCTCAGGAATTCTAATTGGCAACTACTGGGACTCCATTCCTCAAAAACATGGAATCGATTATATTTGATTCTAACCTGAAGTCGCCCAAGCCTAGCTCGCAGTGGAGTATGTTACTGCTCCAAAAAGCCCCTGTGAGCTACTTCAAAAGTTGCAATCAACTAGAAATTTAAAACCTGCATTTCCTTAATTTAAAAAAAAAAACATCAAGGATTTAGGATGGGGGAAAGAGGATGCTGAAGGTGACGTAGATGGGGAGGCAGAGTCCGTCCAGAGACAGCACCTCGCTGCGGCTGGTCTTGGAGCCCAGGCCAAACTTCTTGCTCAGGATGCCCGTGTTGTAGATGTAGTCCTGGCCCGGTAGGTGACACTGGATGCGGATGCTGTACAGGACCTCCCGGTCCTGGCGCAGGGAGAAGGTCTGACGCTCACAGATGCGGAAGGAGAGGGTGGGGTCGTGAGGCTTCAGACGCTGAGGAAGGGAACAATAATACCGCATGGGTAAGAGTGGTTTGACAATCACAAGGGTAATAGTAGTTATGACATTAATTATACCACTAGGATAATAGTGGTATGACAATAATTATACCACAAGGTTAATAGTGGTATGACAATAATTATATCACAAGGATAATAGAGGTATGACAATGATTATACCACAAGGTTAATAGTGGTATAACAATAATTACACCACAAGGTAATAGCCATATGACAATTATTACACCACAAGGGTAATAGTGGTACAACAATTATCATACCACACGGGTAATAGTGGTATGACAATCATTATACCACAAGGGTAATAGTGGTATGACAATTATCATACCACAAGGGTAATAGTCAATTATTATACCACAAGGGTAATAGTGGTATGACAATTATTATACCACAAGGGTAATAGTAGTACGCCAATAATTGTAACACAAGGGTAATAGTGGCATGAAAATAATTATGCCACAAGGGTGAGAGGGGTATGAAAATATTACACCACAAGGGTAATAGTGGTATGACAATAATTACTATAGAGGTACGAGGAACATGAAATAACTTTACCACAGGGGAAATAGTAATATGACAATAATTACGCCACAAGGGTAATTATGGTATGACAATTCATGTAATTACACCAAAATGGTAAGATTGGTATATATGTGGTTCAAAAATAGAAATCACTCGATGATTTTTAACTATCCACAATGGACTATGTTCACAAGCACCCCCTTAACAGTGTCAGAGAGAGTAAATGCCCAACATGCGCCCACCCAATGCCCACATGCAGACGCTATGTGAGCATTCACATGAAATTGGTCATGTCTACTCCATGCAATATGATAACTCATTTGACTCGTACAACTTTGTGCACAAGTACGCCCTCAAAGGTTATAGGCAGAGTTGGGGAAGACCACTGGGAGGCTGGCATTCAAACGCATTGCTGATGACGCCTGATGCTAACAAAGATGCTATGCATTCGTGCACATTCAAAAATATAATTAGTCTTGTCTTGCGTACTCCACGCAAGACGTGCGTGATTCAGTACGCCAATGCGAAGTGTCCCTCCCAATGGAGATCTCGCAAGCGCTAAAAAAAGGCCCCATTACTATGCAAGCATGGATTCCGTAGCCTGTCATTACCTGCATGTAGAACTGGTATGTGGAGTGTTTGCCCTGCCGATGGGCCTTGAGCTCAAAGTGAAAACCATGGATGGATACAACCTCACTGTGGTATCGTGGCTCCTGCAATATGATCCACAACAAAAATGATTCATTTCCACAGAAATTGGCACTTTGCATTCAGATTTGAATTTTTTAGTAATATTTTTTTTGGGGGGGGGGAGGTTTCACATCACAACATTTTCACCTGTTGGATGATGAAGCCAGTCCTGATGGCGTCGTTGCCGAAGTTCAGCATCAGCGACATGTCGCCGCCGCCCTGCAGCGCGTGGTAGTGCAGACTCAGCGTCTTCAGGATCCACTGCTGCGGGATCACGTTCATGCGCAGCATGTCGTCCAGGTGGCGCGTGTCCGTCACACCGGCCAGCCGGATGGAGCGGAAGAGGCTGGCGTACTGCTGGCCTTGCTCCCGCTCCACGAAGGAAGTGGTTTTGCTGAGGCTGAAAAGAAACAAAATTGTTGATCGTCTATAAATGTTGTTAGCATCACGGAAACTGGATATACGTCAGATGTGTAGTTAGGAGAAGAAATGCTTCTTTTGCTTGAATGAATGAGGCTAATGTAACAGCACCATTTTGGGATATAAAAAGACATGCACTCAATGTTATTGACATAAGTCTACATGTTGCTACAATTCAAAAATTACATTTTTGCAATCTTAATTTTCAGATTGAAGTTTAGGTACTTATCTGACTTTGATGGAGTGATATTTGTCACGTGTGTTTACCCAAAGCATGGAGATTTCTATTCTAACGTCACTGATTTAACCAGTTAAGGCCGGAGGACATGTAAACACGATGTGGCAATGTTTATTTGCAGGGCCAGGTGACGGGTTAAATCATCAAGCTTTCCTTGAGTCTCTGGCAGAGGTTCCTATTGGTTCTGTACACACCAGCTTTTGAACTTGGTTGTTTTACACGGTCTGTCGTCATAACAAAAATTGCTCTGTGGTGGCGCCCCCAGTGTTGCAAAATATGATGTTACAGTGATAAATATTGTACAAATATTGTACAAATGACTCTCAAGAGTCAGGATTTGTGGTGCTTGACTTCATTTTAACATTTGGCCGCTTTATCTTATCTTTTTAAAAAATGGTGTTTTTCGGCCAAAAATAATCCCGGTGACAAGTGGTTAAGCAAATTTTTCCGCTGGGGTTAAGCATGCTTCTGCTGTACTTACTGCTTAACGGTCTCTATGAAATGCACAGAGGCTCTGTTAGCAGAAAATCGTGTGATTAGCAGCGCCATGAAATTGGGCCCTGGTTATTAGCCGTTACCTGTTGAAAAATGTGACTATGGTGCTGTGTGACGGCATCAGTTGGAGGTGGTGGTTCTGCTGCAAGAAGATCCAGTAGCACAGCAGCTTGTACAGGTAGTACTCATTGAATGTGAAGAACCTAGATAATCCAGACCAAATAGTCCTTTCTTAATGAGTGAAACTTTGAAGACTTGATCCATACCATGTCTTTATGACTGAGAATACTGGCAATGTTAATACGGGCGATTCCCAATAGTGCTCCTCCAAGACTTTGCAACGCGTTGGCCAATCACAATGCGCAAAATCTGTCGACCCAACGCCCGTTTGGAAAAGGTCGACTGATTTCGCGCATTGTGATTGGCCAACACGCTGCAAACTCTTGGAGGCGCACTATTTGGAATCGCCCGTATTGACCAAACTGAAGACCGAAAAAAACAACGTAAGCCTACTATTAGGGGCAGCAACCCATATGAAATTTTATTCGAGTTTCAAAATTAGATCCAAATAACTACGTATCCATTCTGAAATAAGTTTGTATCAAAATTTCTGGAAAAGTTTTTAAAAAATATAGTTATGTACCCCATATTTTAGGCACAAATTCTACTTGGGTGCTTGGCAACATTGTCTGTGACACACCAGACTGATTTTTATCCTGGTAGTATTGAGCCTACTTCGTACCTGCTTGACTTGATGATCTTCTGCAGTAACTCCAGAGGTAGGTCCCTCAAATGAATTTGCACAGAGAGCTGTAAAATGACCGTGTTTATTAAAGTTAACTTTATTGTACGAATCATTACCAAAAAGAAGGAAGTTTGTCGAAGTGATTAATCAATCAGTGGAATAAATATATTTAGAACTTCATACTATGGAAGCCTGTTCACACTATCCCCTTTTGACCTAGTGTTACTTAAGTGAAACCATGATGCACCTACGTCAGCTTCAACTTGGCTCAAAAATGATTAGGGTTATTGAACCACGAGGCCTTGCCTCGCCCACTATGCAGGTGGGGGCAGCTTTGCCGAATGCAGGCGAGTCGCCTGCTTCGAGGGCCCGATTTGCCCACTTTGCTGGCAATCATACTCCTGATCAACTTGTGAACACACATGCACACCCACCCATACTTGTTCCATTATTGAGGGGACTACACACCTGGTGAGTGATATAGTTAGACGTTGTGGGGACAGCAGAACGTCCCAACAACTCAGTCCTAATTACCCTAATGGAAAACTTCCCCATAACGCGGTGCCGGCTAGGGCACACATACACCTTTTGCACTTTTAGCATAAAGCTTTGATTTTTTTTATTTTCATTGTTGGTATTACTCCAGGGGCCAATTTATGACAGTTAGCAGAATTAGAATTGTGCAAGTAGGGATTCAACACGGCTATATCCATGATGTTCACATGTGCAGTGTGAAAAGGCTTTGATAGATTCCACACTTTATCAACTTACGTGAGGAATCAGGTTGAGCTCCAGCCATCTCTCACAAGCATTAACAACCTGCCCAACCTTGTACTGTCAAGAAAAAAGTACAGAAAATGTTACATTTTTTTAAAATATGAGACTATTGATATATAATAACACAATAAGATGTACTCAAGTTACAAATGTCAATTGCATTTCTGTGATAAGTATTCATCTAATCATCAATCGAATAAACAACCTTAATTTCTAGTCCCTTTTTTATTTTTAAATACCTTCAGTCCAGCTTGGTGATATTTGCAGACAGTCATTGCACTCAGATTCCTCAGCATGATGTCTGCACATCTGAGAAAATGAAGAAATCAATTTCACAAACTCAGGAGTGTGGGATGGGACTTTTGGTGGACTGAGTGCCTTCAAAACAAACAACGGATGAGATTCCACAGCAAAGTAGACATGGCCAAAAAGGGTACATTTGCTGCAATTGTTATTAATTTCACTCTTTGCATATGGAATTTATCGCATAAATAGACAGAATTCAAACAATGTGCTATCGCATCTTGCCGTCCCCACTGGGCACCGTTTTTAGTCTTTCTATCGGCCTGCTGTATGGAAAGAGTCAAGTCAGAGTTCCTAGCCATTTATGCAAACATAATTCCCTGAGTTTTCTCTGTTATTTCCCTGAGAAATCTCCAAGGTACCATGAAAAATATTTTCACGTTACCAAGGATGTTGGGAGGTCAAGAGGTGGTTGCAGCAAAGCAACTAAGATACTGATCACACCCAGGCAACTTGTTGACAAGCAACGGCCTCCCTTCTCCCCTTACAGCCATCCTTCCAGTCAGTCAATGGACACAACTTGGACATGTCACAACATAGTTCACAAACTAGTGAAAACCTTTCCCTTCCGGGTCACTGTCAAATTCCCTGAGTTTTCCCTGATTTTTGGTGTTTTCCCCAATTTCCCTGAGTTTTCCAGGACTGGAAAAATGGAAACTCACTTTCAAGTTTTCCCTATTTCAAGAGTGGATGGGAACCCTGTTAAGTACCATAAGAAAGACTTTGGTATGGAAAGACAGCCTCGCTTGCTAAACTTTCATTAAAAGTATCGTCAAGAGTCTAATCTGGAGTGTCTACCTTCTTTCTAAATCCTGGAAGCCGAGGGTGTGAGCAGATGCCAACACCCCAACGACGTCGCACTTCTCAACGTCGATGTCTTCATGGTAGAGGTTGCCAAGGGCAACAGCAAACGCTACGACAGTACAAAAATATTAGCCAATAAACAATTAACATTTTCATAAAACATTCCATTCAATTAATTGGTATTAAAAAAGAAGATGAGTATTAATGGTTTGCCTGTGAAGTGGTAAAAGTTTGTGCAATTAATAATTGAGTTGTACAGAGCTAAAACTGTTTTATACATTTTTTTATTTTTTTCCATTTTTTTTGGGCCATGCCCAAAATGGTTGTCCAGAGCTATGGCTAGGCCTATTGTCAGCATGTTTCTTGCAGTTACAAATGAGCAATTCCGACGTTATTTAAGGAAGTGTTATGTCCATGGCTGAGCCAATTAACCATGATATTAATGACCCAGAGAAATGATCCAAAACTCCTAGTCGGTAATCTCCTTGACCATTACTAGATGATGGATGTATAAGATTTGAAAAAAAAAATACACCTTTCAGTTTTATTTCACTGAGCTCTTAAAAGCTCTGTCGTTGACATTACATAACGCTGGAATGCTCATGTGTCAAAGACCTAGACAATATAGTTCCAGACAAGAGATTCAGTCACATCGGTAAACATATCCCCTCACCATCTCTGGTCACCATCGGGTCTCGGACTTTCAATTTCAGCTTGGTCATGGTGTTGGTCCGAGCCCGGACCACGTGGGCCGGGTGTCCGATTCCCTTCTTCTCCCCGTCCTCCCGACTACTGCTGCGCGGGCTGTCCGTCAGGCTCAGGCTGTGGCTGATGTCCTGGTACTCCGTGCTGTAGTGGTTGCTCTTACTGATGTACTGGTCCAAGGTGGCTGACATGGGGTCCCGGTAGTACAGCTCCGTGTGGGGCGTGCTCTCCGCCTTGGACAGGAGGTGGGTCAGGGTGGCAGACTTCTGGATGTAGGGGCGGTGCAGCTCCCAGTTGGTGTCCAGACACTGGAGGAGGATGTCTGGATGGAACCAAGACACAATATGGACCATTAGAAGTGATCCGATGCGCTCGTACCCCCGCCTGCAAACAGGGCGCTGGGATATGCTGCCGAGCTTCACAGAATCTTGTGAAGGAAGTGGCCTATGACCTAGGTATAAAGCATCTGGCTGCAGCTGTTCAAGACCGCAGTTAGACAATGTGCGTAAATGCTATCTGAAAACTTCCTATAGAAATGCACACATTCCATACCGATGTGATTTCTGTTACATTGCAGACCATGTGGACACAATTTTGAGCGTCGCATAATGCAATCCGACCGTGCGTGATTCGAAACGGAGCCTGAGCAAGTGACGGGAATTGTAAATTTACAACACAGATAAGTTTTACAGAATTTCCTACATTATTACGCTTTTCAACCAAAAAAAACCATCTCTAAACTGGAATAAAAGAGTAATGAATCAGTCTTAACAGCCGTTTGAAACCTTGCAGAGTCATGACCGTGATGACGCGCAGGTCACTGCTCACGCAAAATCCAACCAATCAGAGTATCCCAGTGTCCTGTTTGCAGGGCGGGGGGTACGAGCGAAGTGATCAGAGTGCATGAGAGATATGCATGCAGGCCTAACACCTCACATGAAACTAACATTTTATAAACCCTCCAACCAAGTATGTCATGTCTCGATAACTCTTCACACCAAAGTTTACTCTTACGTGAAACAGTAAGATACTGAGTGGTAATAGCATGATTGTGAACAACGGACAGAAGCGCAGCAAGAAACAGATCATTACGGGTAACATCCTCACCTGGTCCCAGTACGCTGTGTATCGGTGCGGAGTGATAGTGGAAGATGTCAACGGGTGTGGGTGAGCGGGCAGAGGAGGGCTGGAACTTCTCGATTGGTGACGGACTGCATAAAGAAAAAAAAGTCTACATTAACCCACTGTCCCCGTACCGCCCCAAAATTGCCTTGCCTGTTACTCCCTGTATGGTCTGAATCTGCCCCCAGCACTGCATGTTTCTTTTATGGATTCATCACGAAATAAACACAACGCATATATCAGGCAAACAACTGGAAAGTAAAACCCCCCCAAAAAAAAATTAAAAGAGGAGGAAATTCCAAGATTTACAAGACTCTCTTCAGTGTTTTGCAATTTTTGTGTGTGAAGTAAAAAAAAAACAGAGGAAATCAGCTGATTTGACAATATGCACGATTGGGCCTTTCATCTAAGAAATCTGGTCCTCTTGTTGAGGTCATTCAATTCCTGTCCTTCCTGGGCAAATAGACATGTTCTAGTGCCCTCACTGCCAGTCAATATTAGTATATTGACCGGCAATTCCTACTCGAGTTCCTCACTGGCAAATAGACATATACCTGTGCCCTCACTGCCAGTCAATATTTTTATATTGACCAGCAATTCCTACCTGAACCCCTCCTGGGTAAATAGACATATACTAGTGCCCTCACTGCTAGTCAATATTTTTTTATATTGACCAGCAATTCCTACCTGCTTAGCCTACATGGTGCAGTGCCTGGGGGTTTAGTATCCGATGATCTGGGCCGATTCAGCCAGCGGTTGCTGGTCCTTGCATCCAGGGTGGTGTGCGGACGGTCGATGCCGTCTCGGGGTGGAAACTGATAGGGCTTCTCTGGGTCGCTGTTAACGCTGGTTGCTGGGTTCTCAGCTGTGGTACAACACGAGCAAGATAATAATTATAACAATAACACCGAAATTACCAATCACGGCACAAAATCACTGTGCACATGTCACATGGATTCCTCGGTAATAGTGGAAGCATCAGTGGCACAAATCTGTGTCGGCGAGTGGGGGGGGGGGGGGATGATTGGAATGACCATGCCTTAACCTTACTTAAGACTAGTACATTAGAAGCTTTTGTACTATTTGCTCTCCATTGTTGAAATGACTTCATAGATTTGGATCTTTGGAAAATTACAAGATAATCTCAAAATCGGCATTTTGTTTTTGTTTTTCACCACAAAAATCTTGGGGGATGCTCCAATGGCCCATCTCCCTTGTCAAAAACAGGGGGGATATATCTTCCCCGTCCCCATCCCCCTCCCCTCTCCTCCCCCCCCCCCTCCACCGATTTACACCCATGGGAAGCACTGTACCAGCTTTTGTAGGAAACAACAACGTACATACTGCTCTATAACAGTTTGTGTACAAACAAGACTCGGCTTGCCTAGTTAAGCAGAAATTAAATTTCTCATTTCAAGACATTATTTATACTCAGTGACTCAGTGAGTCAAAAGACAAAAGACTGGCCCCTCCAGTCCGGCAGCAATATTTTGCAATATATGCGTATCTGCCAGGAATACCGGACATAAAGTGGGGGTTCACAGGAGGGTCAGCAGTATTTTCAAACCTCGAAAAGGGAAGAAAATTTCAAAATGATAAAATCAAGACATCATCAATCACAATTTATCATTTCAAAATAAACAATAAAAATCCATTGCAAATAAAGTAATGAGTAAAAACTTAACCAAAAATAACTGGTTAAGACTAATTGCAGACCCACCAGTCATAACAGCCACCATGCCGTCGTTGTAGGGTTCATTCAGGGATTTGATAGCCTGAGCTGTGCCTAGGAGATCCCCTCCCAGAGACTCCGGCAACCTCCAACGATTGGTGCCTCCCACCTGACGCCGGATCCGATAGCGGGGAGATGCAGAATGCTAAAAAACAAACAAAAAAACAATCAGAAACAGAATGGTGAGACTTGGGGCTTGGCATGGTAGACAGGTAGTGAGTACAGTTTGGGAACACTTGTAGTCGAGTTCATCACAAGTCCAGTCAACCAGAGATGGCCTAGCGGTTAAGAACACTGGACTCATGCTCTGGTGTTTCAGACGCAACAGTGGTGTGGGTTCAAGCCCGGGCCCGGACACTTGTGCCCTTGAGCAAGGCACTTAACCATTATTGCTTCGTCCTTCGGATGGGACGTAAAGCTGTAGGTCCTGTGTGTTGTATAATGCACATAAAAGAACCCAGCAAACACTTATCGCTAAGAGAAGGGGTTCGCCCCAGTGTTTCTGGCAGTTATCCTCATACATACATCATGTGAGGCTGTACGCGATAGCCACACCAGGCGTTTGTACAGAAGCTAACAGATATATACAGATACAGATACAGATACCACAAGTCCAGTCACAAGTAAATCACAAGTCCAGTCACAAGTAACAGCGGATGAACAATAACAAAGGGATGCCCTTGTCAAAGCTTATTGGAATAGTAGTTTGAATTGGGACTGGAGGACTTGTGATAGACTTGCAGGGACTTGTGATAGACTTGACCACATCCATTGACATCCTTGATCCATCACAGTAATCAATCTTCAATCACGTTAACAAGAGTACAGGTTATAAGCTTGCTTAGTCGAGCTTGACTATTATGCCCTTTTTAATATAACTTTCTTCTTTTTTTAGTCACTGTGCCTTTCAGTCTTTGGGCTGCTGACTGTTGAAACTAAATGAAAAAAATATAATTAAATTAAATATAAACTGTATGAAGAGACCATTGTTGCATGGTGAAATATTAGCCCCCCCCCAAAATCTTACCCTATCAGGCTGTCTAGCATCCACCACCACACCAATCAATGCTGTATAGGGCGCGTTCTGTAGAGCCCTGCATACAATAGAGGACGACAAAACATATCATGAAGGAGAGCAAGAATGTGCCCTAGACCGACTCAACACAACCTTGTTAAAATCTTGTGTTTCAACTTGACTCCAGTCACTTCCACAGAACTACTCGACTCGACTTGAGTCACTGCCCTAATGACTCAATGCAAGTCACAAAAATAATGCCTATTACAATACAGCTTGACTCGAGTCACTAGCTTCCACAGAACCACTAAACTTGACTTGAGTCACTGCTCTAATGCCTCAACTCAACTCAATTACAATACAGACAACATAATTTATTTTATTTAATTATAATAATAATAATATCGGAGTCTTATATAGCGCACGTATCTACCAACAATTAGGTACTCAAGGTGCTGGAAATGATGTCTATTATTAAAGAAAGGTAAATAAAGTTTATGAGAAATATGAGACCCATTATGTAGCACCTGATAAGGGTATACAAGGTGCTGCGGCGCATATTGCAGCCACTGCCAGAAACACCGAGGCAAACCCCTTCTCTTAGCGATCAGTGTTACTGGGTTCTTTAATGTGCATTACACAACACATCCAAAGGACGAAGCAATAATGGTAAAGTGCCTTGCTCAAGAGCACAAGCACCATGTTCCCATGGTCAGGATTCGAACCCATGTACCATGTACGGCACACGAGTCGAACACCGTAACCATTGGACCACAGCACCCCACATGGTGTTGTATTCCAATTGTAATGTATTGTATTTGTATATGTGTGTATAATCTTCTGTAGTTATAAGCATTAATCACGCAAGTTTTTATTTTATTTCATTGTGTTGTGTTGTATTTGTAATGTATTGTACATGTATGTATAATCATTTGAAGTGTATGCCGGGCTTCCATATATGCCCATAGCGAATGTGTAGTATGGAAAAAAAAATATCGTGGCCAGGTTATGAGGGTCAGTGAGAGCCTTCTATTTGCTGGTCTGCATGGTCTTTACCCGATTTCGTTACTTGGTATTGTGGTTTGCATTGAGGGAGGGGGGGGGGGGGCTACATTTTGACCTCGGCAACTTTTTTAGGGGTGGTTTTTTTTTGGGGGGGGGGGAATATAAAAAAAACATGCTGCAGCTATCTCTGGTAAAACTGAAAAGAAAATTATCCCGCATATTGTAATCTTTAATTTCCAGTGAAAAACTAATCACCACCTTGCCCCTGAGTGCCTCCAGGTGGCGCCCTTTCTTCCCAAGTTTGCGGGGGGTTTTCCTATAAGCGTGTAATTAATACAGTGGAACCTACATGTATAGAGTTTAATTTAAACGTAAAGATATTTGTAATGAGACTTAAAGTCGTCATATCCAACAACCTAGCTGAGAAAACCAAGAAAGGTATTTCAGGCACTGTCTTGTTTGAGGAACAGCTGTCTTAAAAACATACATCTAACCAAATTAAATAAACAAATAAAGTAAATAATAAAAAAGCTTTAGAAACTGCACTTCAGTTATAATTTTTGTATTGATTCAGGTTTTACCACTACATGTACTTGGTTACAAAAAAAATACAAGCACGAACAAATTTCCATTAAAACTGTTTCAATCTCAAAGTGCATGTATGCTAAAGTTCAAGTGCGGTTACCTAGCTACCGCTAAAAGCGATACTCAAATCTCTAACAACAGGAATATTTTTTTAGCCATTACAAATCTGCAGAGGCCATTTGGGCTTCGTGGGCTACTGTTTTTGTGAAGCCCCATTTGCGAACAAATAATGAAAACCGTGTCAACATACCAGACACTTCCTGGCATCCATTAAGCATTCCTTCAGGACACGCTTAGCAGATGATGTGTTTGGATAGTGCTTGAGGGTGTTTGTTCAGAGAAAGGAGCTCCTACTCAAAAGAGTTTGTTTTCTATTTAAACATGCATTGAGCACACGTACTCTCCAGCCAAATTATAGGATTTACGCAGGACAAGGTATTTTGTGGGGAGTTTGCTCAAGAAAACATTATTGAGTGCACATTATCCTTGAATGTGAATAAATCATTTATTTTAACCAGGTGAGCCAAAAAAAGGTCATTAATTAGGCTTAATGGCAAATTTGGAGTGAGCTTTAACAATACTTTTTAAAACTTCTTCTGTAAAAATGTAATAGGCTTTGGACCTCTTATTGTCCTTCAAATTAAAGATTGCATGTGTTTTGATCAAGTGCTACTACCTGAAATCAGCCTAATTGTTCCACCTCAAAAAATGGCTGTCGCCAAATTAGTTTAAATTTCTATTTTGTATCTTGCTTCTTTTGGAGGGGTTACTTTAAGGCAGTGGATATTTTGCCGGAGACGGCAAACCTTTAGTAAACGTTAGTTTGCCGGATATGCACTGAACATGCGCAGTTACTGTTTTTTTTGTACTCTTAACATTTTCCGGTGACAAATTTTAGTCTGGCTCCATGCCAATATTATCGTTGTAACCTCGTATTCACAAGATGGGATTCAGACCATTTTATAATTTCGGACTTTATTTCCCTTTTAAAAAAAATCCTCCAGAGCCACAAATCTGAAAAAGAAAATGTAATACTCTGCAAAAAATGTTTGAGACATGTTAAAATAATAAAAGAAGAATATTCTTATTTATTTGGGGATGAGAAAAAAAAACTTTAAAATGTGGTGCGGTCGGAATCGAACGCGAGTCATCCCGCTTACTAGAGCCTTTGCTTAACCATTACACCAAACGTGCTACACAACTTTTGGTGGGAATTTAATACATCTTATAATTCAGCCCTATTTTAAAGAGTACAGCGCCCTCTGTTGATATGGATTGCCGCCGGCAAACCTTTAGTAATCGTTAGTTTGCTGTCATTACCTCCGGCAAAATATCCACTATCTTAAAAAAATGACACATTTCTCAGTCCCAGATTCATGTCTTATCGTTATTTTTGCAATGACTGACCTTCATTGAGATGATAATGAAGAAAAAAGCAGTAGCGTCTGGTTGCAACATTCTTTCCTTATTTTAAAAGGGCCTAGGCTTATGTTGACTGTATTGAACCTGGCTTTAACTTAAGGGTTACAGCTTAAACTTCAGGCATTTGAAAGGCGTATCACAGAAATGTATGGCATATAATTTCAAAATAACGAGAGCCTGCGCCTGCAAAGCTGACATGAAATATTCGACTAATAATTTAAGCCTGCCTTCGTTTGCCTACCTTGTGTATGACATAGCCACGGACGACATCCTAGCCTGAGGCGGTGCAGCTGGCAAGTACGGAAGGGCATGAGCGGCCATCCCTCCCATGGAGTGCTTCGACGAAGCAGAGAGGTTGGTGACGGTTGTTACTTCGGCCATCGCTTGAACATGGAAGTCGAAGTTACTAACGAAACTTTATGCTTTTGTGTTACGAGAAATCGAAATGATTCTAACTAGCTTCACACTAAGCAACATATATCTTCAGAATCGAGTTAACGAATAGAAAACATTAGTTGTGCTGCCATTTTTACACAATCCTTTGGAGAAAACTTCACTCAGACACTCGAGTACTATCACACGCAAAAACAACAACGAATTTCGCGAACTTTTTAAAACTGGTACCATGCGCGTTTTGGTTTTTATCATGAAAGTTTAATGACACCTACCGCGAACCAGTTAAAAGAAGTTCCCGTTTTGGGGGTCAGTGGAGGTTAACGAGTCGGCGCAAGTTGCATAGCTACCGTTGTCAGGGCACGCTATTTTGCCCACTCACGACAATGAGGGCGCTGTAATAATTTTACGGTGAACAAAATAATAATAGCTGATCCGCACATATAGATATATACATAATTTTTTTTAAGCGATTAATGTGTGAAATTTTACAGTGAAATAAAAAAGTACACGTACTTTGAAGTAAATCGTGAAGGAGAAAGGTCATCACCTTTAAAGTTGCATCATTCGTGCTCTTCAATAAATTAAATTCGATTTTGTTTTTCTCTCTCTCTCTTAATCAATGTTCAGCTTTTATATGTTTTATTCCAACCCATTAACTCCTATTTTTTTTTTTTTTTTGGTGTCTGCAACTCTCTGAAGAAAATAGAACTTGTTTTTATTTTGGCCACAAAAGAGCTGCCTCACGACATGACTGGTTCTAGGTTCGAACACTATCGATACTGATTGTTGGGCGGGAACCAGCCTACCCCGCGAGAACTGAATTATTGTCGGGCCGCAAGTAATTCGAAACAATAATTCAATAACTAAACGTGTTTTTTTTCCGGTCGATATCTCATTCAAAAGTGAAAAACTTTAATTGTGCTGCTATAAAAATAGCAATTTAGAAAGGAATCTATTTGTCAGGATCAAACTTGCAAAAAGGACGGGAAATAGGTGATTAATTACTAGTGTCCCATTAAACTCTATTTTCAATTTTCGTTTTGCCATTTTCAAGGGTATGTTAGTGGGGGGAGGGGGGGTTTCACGCTAATACGAATTTCCATATTCATGAGCAAAAGTGTGATGTCATTTCAGGCAGAAACCTCAATATTACAGCTATTTTAGCACCAAAAATTGCCAGGGTTTTGGCTATTTCGCTGAAGTATACTTAGTTTTCTTTGGTGGTTAACCAGGTGAGCAAAGTTTTCTCACAAATGTTTTCAATGAGCAGATTTTAGGTTCACTATTTGAACAGAAAACCCCTAAACTGAACAGTGTCTTCATGAAATGACATCACATCAACACCGCCCTCAGTTGTCCGGAAAAGCATGGAAAGTTTTCAAGAAAATTTACCAAAAAGGGATGTCAAACAGTTTTCTATGGCGTGTCAAACGTTGCAATATTCAATATTTTGCAAAGTATATGTTGGATGTTCAATATGTGTTGTTATCTTTTACATTTATGTGCGATGTTCAATATAAGTGTGCGATGTTTTTCAGTATTTGCGCGATGTTTAATATATTTGTGCGATGTTTTACAATATATGTGTGCGATGTTCAATATATGTGTGCGATGTTTTACATTTATATGCGATTTTCAATTTATATGTGCGATGTTTTTGACGATATATATGTGCGATGTTTTCAATGTTATGTTCGATTTTTTGCATAAAATGTGCGATGTTTTTCGATACAATTGTGTGTGTTGTTTTACAATATATTTGCGATATTCTCAAATATGTGAGCAATGTTTTACAAATATGTTTGACATTTCGAGCTATTTGTATTCGATGTTTCATCGGTATGTTTGCATTCGATCTTTTGCAATATGCATTTGATGTTTCCCTTTTCATTCGATGTTTCGTTAAGAGTCAAAGTCTGGCTACTAGACCGCGAAAGTCTGACTATTTTACCTAAAGTCAGTGTATGAGACGTCAGGGGATCGCGTAAAGTGATTAGAGCCAGACCTAAACGGTAAAAACCGGAATTGTGGGTAATTCTTTAAGCATACGCAATGCGTTCATCATTGTTTGGGCAGTATCCCCAGCTGTGCCTGTACTACCCATAGTGTTATGTGCATCATCTATGCATTGAGGAATGCATGACACATGGTCTGAGCTCCAAGGCCGATGTGCACCTGCCCCGTTTAATGATCCAGTTAACTGATAATTTGTTAGCATAAGCTGATGTAAAATTGGGCAAAATTAGATGTTTATGAAAAAAAAATCAAATTGTAAGGGGTTAACCTTGCATTTTTTTTAGCAAAATCGGGAAAAATCAGATATTTCTGTATAATTGCAGATTGTATGGGTTTAGATGTTTATGAAACATTTCAAATTGTAAGGGGTGAACATTGCATATTTTAGCGAAATTGGGCAAAATCAGATGTTTCCAAAAAATTTCAGATGTAAGGGATTATTAAACCTTGCTTTTTTTGTGAAATTTTGCAAAGTTAGATGTTACGAAAAATTTCAAATTGAAAGGGGTTAGCCTCGCATTTTTTTTTAAGCGAAAATGGGAAAAAATAAAATGTTTCTGGAAAATTGCAGATTGTAAGGGGTTAACCTTGCTTTTTGAATAAGATTGGGACAAATTAGATGTTCATGAAAAAAATTCAAATTGTAATAAGGGGTTAACCTTGCTTTTTTTTTAGCAAAATAGGACACAATCAGATGATTCTGGAAAATGCAGATTGTTAGGGCTTTTTTTTTGGCAAAATCAGATTTGTATGAAAAATCTAAATTGGTAAGGGGTTAACCTTGCTTTTTTAGCAAAATTTGGAGCATATTTTACTAAAATTGGGCAAAATCAGATGCTTCTAAAAAATCCAGATGTAAAGTTTCCGCAAAAACAGCTGTTGCGGAAAAAGAGCCCTATGTTGAACTTTACTGAGTCTGAGGTCTATCGAGGGGACGATCCTTATTTCAACTCCCGGAGATTCGCTGACAGTCTCTATTTTGCTTTTTAAGAAAGTCGAAATAGCTGAAGAGGGAGGTGAGAATCTATATGTGCCCAGATACAAAGAGTAGAAATCTACGCGTCTGGCTTTTGAAAATACACAATTGCGGTGTTCATTGTTGCGCAATGATCCGCCTAGCACACGACTGTTTTGCACATTAGGCTGTGTTATGCAGCTTCCTAACAAACCAAACACACTGGGCTCATTATATCGGCTTGTTTTTACCCATTAAGGTAAAGCAAATGGACCCAGTAATCTTCCTGGCGTGTTTGCTCACCTATAAAGACAACTTTTCTCAGTTTAAGGAAAATTCTAAGGTAACGAAATGGCCGAGTGGTTACGATTCGTCGTCCACGATAAGCGGGGTCCCGGGTTCGAATCCCGCTGGTGTCTTTTTGGTTTTTAACGTATGAGTTCAATTATTGACTATAAGAGATTTAATTTCCAGTCGTAAAGTACCAACAGTACCTTAGCTTAATCGGTAAGCACTGCTGCTGGTACTGTCCGCGAGTTCCAGGTTGGCGCCTTCGTACAGGTTCAGGGCATGTGGTCCACTCGGAGGATCAGGGCTTAGGGGCCGCCCTGTTCCTCCCTAGCTCTTTGCTTTTACATGGTGCCTGGCCCTCCGGGGTTATATGGATGGATAGGGAAGGAAGTGTGTATTGGTCGGGGACGCCGAGACCCCGGAAGAGAACTAAGGGATCGGCTGGGGCATTGTTATGGCTCAGACCGATCCCTGAAAGCTTGACTAGCACATAACTTTTTGATTTTTTTTTACCCTCTATCGTTTAGTTTGATATCTACAGCTGCTCGCAGGTCTACGGGTAGTATCAAAATTGAAACAAAGGTGTATGTCATAAATCAATGAATATTTCATAATTGACTATAATCAAAACGGAGATTCGTTTGATCAATATGACTATCATTATATAATGACGCGACCGGGAAAGAATAAAGATGTACATTGTAATATAAATATTATTTATACATCTTTCAAATAACGTGTCTTTAATTGTGAGCATTCCAAACAATACAGTAATTCGCAATAGTAATAGAATGGTATATGATAGCACGATCAATGCGTCTCTATTAAATTTAAATTTTTTTAATTTAGGCCCCTATGTGTGAAATATTCTTTGATTGACTATGAGCATTCCATACGAATGAGTTATTTCGCAAAATATAGTAACAACAAAAGAGAAAGGAGTTAGCCTTACATTTTAGCAAAATTGGGAAAAATCAAATGTTTCTGGAAAATTGCAGCTTGTTAGGGGTTAACCTTGCATTTTTAGTAAAATTTTGATGTTTATGAAACATTTCAAATTGTACGGGGTGCACCTTTCACTTTTTAGCGAAATTGGGCAAAATCAGATCTTTCTGGAAAATTTCAGATTGTAAGGGGTTAACCTTGCTTTTTTAGTGACATTTGGCAAAATAAGATGTGAATAAAAAATTTCAAATTGTAAGGGGTTAACCTTGCCTTTTTAGTAAAATTGGGCAAATTTAAATGTTTATGAAAAATCTCAAATTGTAAGGGGTGAACCTTGCATTTTTTTTAGCAAAATACGGCAAAATCAGGTGTTTATGAAAAATGTCAGATTGTAAGGGGTGAACCTTGCATTTTTAGCAAAAGTGGGAAAAATCAGCTTTGTGTGAAAAATCAAAAATTGTAAGAGGTTAACCTTTGCCTAATTAGGCCAAAATCAGATGTTTCTGGAAAATTGCAGATTGAGAGGGGTTAACCTGGCATTTTTAGCAAAACTGGGCAATATTAGATTTTTATGAAAAATCTCAAATTGTAAGGGGTGAACCTTGCATTTTTAGCAAATATGGGCAAAATCAGATGTTTCTGAAAAATTAGGAATGTAAGGGGGTTAACCTTGCTTTTTTAGTAAAATTGGGCAAATTTTAATGTGCATGAAAAATTGCATATTGTTAGGGGTTAACCTTGCATTTTTAGCAAAATTGGGAAAAATCAGATTGGTATGAAAAATCAAAAATTGTAAGAGGTTAACCTATGCCAAATTAGGGCAAAATCAGATGTTTCTGGAAAATTGCAGATTGAAAGGGGTTAACCTTGTATTTTTGCGAAATTGGGCAAAATCAGATCTTTCTGGAAAATTTCAGATTGTAAGGGGTTAGCCTTGCTTTTTTAGTGACATTTGGCAAAATAAGATGTGAATAAAAAATTTCAAATTGTAAGGGGTGAACCTTGCATTTTTTTAGCAAAATACGGCAAAATCAGGTGTTTATGAAAAATTTCAAATTGTAAGGGGTGAACCTTGCATTTTTTAGCAAAGTGGGAAAAAT